TTACATGTATACTCCAACTGAAGTAAACTTTTGCAAATACCAAAAAATGACAGCCTGTCCAATCAATATTCATTGCTTGAAATTTGTTTCTTCGTTCCAAAAATTGATGAAATTATTATGTCCTTTCTATTAATTGGAGTGAAATTAGACAGAATGACTCAGAGGAGTGTTACTGGAAGGTGTCGGGCACAGAAAGCAGGTAATTATAGAGACAGGAAGAGATAAGGAAACAGAATGCAATTAGCCCAGAGCTTCAAATTGCTCTTCCTAGGATTTCTCACCTCAGGTTTCTATTGTTCCTGCCATCCATCTCCATACAGAACTTCAGTCCATGCAACCTACAGCTAAAAGAGAAAAGAAGGTTTGTGTTAATCAAATGATTTTTATTGTACTTGGAGCAACAGAAAGCCCAGAACACCACTTAGTGCTATATTTAGAATGTATGTGTTCAGATGTTTCCCCCCATTTTCTTCACATAAACTCCTGAGAGTAAATTAGGCCCATCAAATATTTTTTATTCCTCTTGTTCAAGACTGAAAGAACTTCTCACAAATTAGTTTACCTTTCAGGTTTAAGGTTGTGCTGTTTTTTCTCCTTGTAACCCTATGATTGATGCAGCCATGTATCATTTCCAAGACCGTTATAAAAGTATGTTTGTATTAACAGTGAGGTTTTAAAAATCTCTTAAAAAATGGTGGGACTCTATATACATTTCTCTTTTCTATTGACTTCTGACTTGTACGGCACGAACAGAAACACAAAATGTGTCTGAATCAATCTGAGAAGAGCACGGTTAGAGTGAGTGTGTAGACACCTGCGCTCTTTACTGCTCAACGTTATGAGCCTCATTTGAAGAGCTCAACGTTCCACCGTCCCAGCATAACCAAATAATTTCAATTCAGTTTATTTATATAGCGCCAATTCACAACACATTTGTCTCAGGGCACTTTATAGAAACATTCACATACATAGGAAAGCCAATTAGTAAAGTTCTGTATCTAAGGAGGCCAGCAGACTTGTTGAATCTTCACTTCCTCACATTCTCCTATCCTGAGCAAGCACAGTGGCAACAGTGGAAAGGAAAAACTCATTTTTAAAAGGAAGAAACCTCCAGCAGAACCAGGCTCAGGACAAGCGGCCATCAGCTTTGACCGGCTGGTTTGAGAGGAACAGGACACACAGAATGGTAGGTCCAGATATAGGTCCAGGTGTACCTGAAAGACAAAAACACACGGCAAGGATAGAAAAAATAATTACAAATACAAAACTGGTTGAGCAGAGTAAAGACGTATAGTGAAGAAATGTGGTCAGTTTGTCCTCCAGCAATCTAGACCTAAAGCAGCATAACTAAGGGATAGCTCAGGAAACCCAAGTCGACCCTAACTACAGGATTTAGCACCACTGACCCCTCAATGGAGACCACAGCAACATCTCAGAGACAGCAGCAATAAACTGACATCAACAGCTACATGTCCACCTACTCTAGAGAGCTCTCTGTGAAAGATGAGACCAGACAAACATCCTGCATCACCCTGTCTTGAAGGCAGCTATAATACTGCAATACACAGCTGACTGGAACTTCAAGTCACTCATTGATGAAATGACCTTTATCATGGTGGCCATTATCCTCAGTATGACCAACGGAACAAACTACAGAACACGCATACATTAATTTCAGCATTACTAATATTATACCAGTCAACAATCAAGCAAGTCGAGCTAAAACTCTTCCAATTCCAGTTATCAGCTGCTTGTTTGATGCAACCATTTTAGAAGCTAAGACCATTATATATTATTATTATTATATAGCTCCATCCATTATTTTTACCTGCTTCTTCCTTTTCAGGTCGCAGTGGTCACTGGTGCCCATGTCTAGCCATCACTGTGCGAGAGGCAGGGGACACCCTGGACAGATCTCCAGTCCATCACAGGGACACATAGAGACAAACAACCATTCACTCTCTCACTCACACCTAGGGACAATTTAGAGTTACCAATCAGCCTAACATGCATGTGTTTGGTCTGTGGGAGGAAACTGGATATGGCCAGATATTTTATAATGTACAGCAACAAAACTAATTTATTAAGTTTTTTAATAAACTATGTGTGATTGGCATTTTTCTAAGTAAATTACCAGTGATTGCGGCACTCTTGATGTGACAGATTTAATTACAATATTTTTTGACGATGCAGTGATTCATTCGATTTAACAAACAAAATGTTTAAAAAAATAAAGTTCTGGTACTTGTAATTATGTTAAATCTATAAATGCTGGATACAACATATTTATTTTAGTCTGTATTTTTTTTAAAGAAATGCGGATGCTGTGCTGCTGCTAATTTGATGGGAAAAAGGGCATTTCTTCTGCTCCATTTGTTCATTCTCTGTAGTGCCCATTTTGCTACTTTAGCCATTTGTTTTAGCTTTTAGGCGCTCTCTCACCCTGAGTCAAACACACTCACCGCAGACTTGCACACACATCAGCACACATCAGCACACACACACACACACACAGGTTTGTCTTGCTGTCTCTACGGGGACTTTGCATTGACTTCCATTCATTTTTCATTAATTTCTATAGCCTAACCCTGACCCGTACCCTAAACCTAACCCCTAACCCACCAACGACTCTAGAACCTTATGGGGACCGGGCTTTGGGCCCCATAAGGAGCAGTTGGTCCTCATAATGTAACATAAACACACACACACTTAACAAAAGAGCCTAAATCCAAAAAGACAAGGAAAGAGTAAATATTTGTTCTTAATAATGCATTAGCTTTTAACTGAGTCAACGTTTCCAAGACTTCTAGGCAGAATTATTAAAGGCAAAACAAACACGCAGAAATATGACTTTTATTTCTTAGTTTATTTATTTGTTTGTTTGTTTTTAATTACTTGTTGGAGAATCTCACAGCACGGGGTGTTGTTGATGCTCCGAGAGGTGCTTCAGGGCTGCGTTCACAGCACACAGACTGACATTTACTGTGATCACATACAGCAAAAAATGTGCTGTTAAGACACAAATACATGGCGGTCTGCCACTGACCCTCACAGCTACTTATCACTCTGTGTGGCTGCCGGCGATGGACGCCAACAGCTTGTGTCACCGCTGGGCCAGGCTGCACTCTCAGCCCAGCACAGAGCTTATCTATGAAATTATTTCCAGAGAAAACGATATCCATGTTTGGTTTTGATGTGTTGCAACAAACGCTGAACATAATTGGCGTATAGGTTTGTTGTCCTGACAGGTGCCACTTCCTCGAGCCTCACTCTGGAGCTGGAAAGCATCAGCTCAGACAGATCAAGATTGCGAGGGGAGTAGAAGAGTGTCACAAAGTGCTTTTATGCAAATGGAAGTCAGGGAGAAGCTCCCCGTTGAATCTGAATATAATGGTCTGTGTATTCCTGCTCTATCAGTCTCCAGGATGTGTCCACTGTGACTCAGAAATGCTCTGCGCTCATATGAACTCCTTTCACCCAAACAGAAGATATGAGCTGGAGCGACGGCTAGAAGCTCAGAGAAAACACGGCAATCTTTTTATCAGAGCGAAGACACAGTGGTGCACGTGGAGGGGATCAAGGTCGCAGCTCAATATATAAAAATATACCTGTAGATTGTAGGTGCAAAATATAAGAGCAAAGAAAAATGAAATGAAGGATTTCTTCACAAAGATAAGAGACGAGACTCTGACGATGTTATTAGGCCTGTCGCGATAAATCAATTAATCACTTGATAAATGAAAATTATCGATCTCATTTTCATTTATTGGCTTTATCGTTTCTTCGTGTCTCTTTCTGAAGACACTGTATGACAAAAGACTCAACTCTGGCGCTCTTCACTGGCCCCTCTCTTTCTCTTTTCTCTTTAAAATCTGTTTTAACCGTTCAAAATCGTGTTTTTAGATCATTAAAAGCAGCTAAGCTGAGAAGCTAAGCTACGAGCTAAGCTAACAGGCCGACCTCAAGGGGTGTGGGGGGGAACCTCCATCTTGTCAAAGCTCAAAAATTCACGGTTAAAACCCGTGCCTTCGTCTAAAAAGTTGTTTTTCTCTGCAAAAAGAAGATAAGAACTTGTTTACTGATTTTTTTTTTTAAGCTTTGTGTGAAAATGCTATGCTAAAGAGCTCAAACCACACCCAGCGTCCGCCATTTTGAGAACCGAAAGAAAGGAAAGTTTGATCTCAAGGGGCCTCCCTCCCATTTTTCTTAGACTCGCGCTCGCTCCCTCACTATCCATCCTTCGGTTCAGTCTTATACTGCCATCCGGTGGTCAAAACAATGTACTACACTCAAAACAAATTAACCAACATTTCTTCTTAAATTTGACAGTAATTACTTATTATTGTCAAATTTCAAACAATATTATCGTTTATCACAATAATTTCTGAGACAATTAATGGCCCAGCAAAATTTGTTATCGTGACAGGCCTAGATGTTATATTGTTTGGACAGTTTAGCGGAACGGATTGTGGCCAAACTTTGCTTTATTTAGAGAAGACTTTGTTCTTTCTGCAGGAGATGCAATAAGCTATTTGTTTCACCTCACGTTACAGCAGCATCTCTTATATCAACACTGTTGAAGAAATGCTCCATAAATTGAACTCTTCCTCCCCTTCCGGATTTAATAATAGAGAAGCAGTCTACAGTAGGCTCCGAGTTTTTTTGTTTTTTTGTTTAGCACTCTGTCGTTCCTTCCCAACTGTTGCCGTTTTAACGCCCTACAAATTACAGCAAGGATAGCTGGGAGGCTCTCGTCTCATTTTCCTCAGTTAACAAGCTCTCTGTTTATATAGGATTACGGTTGTCTGCTCGTTTATTCTGCCAGGCTTTCTTTTTTTTTTTTTAATTACTTTGCTGGTTTAGTTCAAGGTACAAAATGCACTAAAGATTCCAGGTCTGCTCAGTTGTTCCTTCCTTCCCGTTTGTTTCCTGCAGACAATCTGATGCCTCATTCAGAGCACATGTTCATTGTTGTTGTTATTTCTGTGCTTGCTTTGCAGCGCTGCCAGTCATGCAGGTGACAATTGAAATCACCAGACAGCAGGTGGAGAAGATTTTTGGCCTTGATGAGTACTGGTGTCAGTGTGTCGCCTGGAGCACCACTGGAACCCAGAAGAGTCAGAAAGCATACATCAGGATTGCTTGTGAGTGCACTTCACACTGATCTGAGTGTCCTTACGAATGCACGGGCAGTTTAAAGCAATAATTCAGATCTTTTGAAGTGCCGTTCTGTCAAAAGGTCACGGACTATTAGTGTCTTACCTGTTGTAGATAGCTCTTTGAACGACCTCAGTTTGAAAGAATAGTTGAATTTTGACTCATTGAGCTAATGGCTGGTTCAAGTGGGGCCTAGACCAAAGTGGATTAGAAGTTCTCAGAAATTTCATAAAGGTTCATGTGGATGTTATTTTCTGAACCTCTTCTGGATTAAAGCCACCGTGAGAATATTGTTTTTAGAAGTCTGAGAGTGAGAAATAAACTGAATTCTGGAAAAATAAGTTTTGCTGCGGTCATAATGCTATATCAAATTTTGATTACTCGGCTATTTTAATTAAACTTGTAGGTGCAAATAGTAGCAGCTAGCTGTAGCACTTCCAGGAGGAATATCATTATTTCTGACTATATAGGTGTCTAATGCGAAGCTGATGGCAATGTGCATGTTTATAAAGTACTTTTTGGAAGAACCAGGATAAAACATTTGAGGTCTGAGTTCTTTTTACTTGACATTCATCTACTATGAGTTTTGCACAGCTCAGATTAGCTATTAGCTCATTAATCTGGTCAGAACTAAACGTTATTCCTACAAAACTTCAAAGACTTATCTACAACAGGTTCAATATTAATTGCTCATAACCTTTCCAATGTACCCCACTTCAAATGATTTGAACTTTACCTCCTCAGGTTGTAATAAGTGGGTATTATCAATATGGATAATATTTGACTCTAATAGAGTTAATACAGGTCAGTTTTATTCAACTTGTGCTGATGTGTTTCATCACAGTTTACAATCTTTTGTGATTTTACTGATAGAAGAAAATATGAGACCATTGCAAGAAAGAGTGAGAGGAGAAGTATATATCTGTAAAGACAGTTTAAAAAAGGGGGGTGGGGGGTGCTAAATTTAAGTATTCATGAGCACATTTTTCACTAGCTACACTATATCAGCAATGATCCCTATGAAAGTAACTTGAATAAAAACAGAATTGAAATTTATTGCTGTGCAGCAATCGTAAATCTGTCTGGGGAACGCAGGCACATCCCCTGCTGCAGCCTCAAAAGCTTTATTAGAGGAAGCCATTTTACATTTGAGTATTTTACAACATTCTGCCTATTATTCTCCACATAAATATGTATCATCCCAGACACAGCCAAAACCACCAGGCTTTTGGAAAACACACATTCATTATCTGCTCTTGTTTGAGAGCTTAACAAAGTCAGATAGATAGAAGATGAGGACACGCATGCTTGAATAGCGATGCATAAGGACACATTTCCAATATTTATTTGCGCCCTCTTATATCCTCGTACTTTAGAGCCTTCCAGAGCTGTTACATCTCGAGTGTCCTCCAGTCCCATAGCATCTGCTTTAATTAAATTAAATGTCGTGAATCTCTCCGCTTATCTTAACGTTTCCCTTTGTGCGATTCATCGGGACGGGCTCAGCGTCTGTTTTTAAAGAACTCAGACCCTCACGACACAATAACACATTGTTTTGCTCTGAGACAAAACATGGAGCCAACACGTCAAATTTGCACCTAGCCGCCAGCGATCAGCAGCTCGCTTGTCTCATTTGATACCAACAGACCTGCATTTATAACCCCCCCCCCCACACACACACACACACACACACACTCCTATAAGAAGCAAGCCTGCCACTCTTACCTGTGTGTAACTCACAGCCGGGGCTTACAGACAAATGTATTGCAGGAGTTGATGCAATGGTAAGAGTGCTCAATGAGACGTTATGTGAAGCCCCACGCAGCCAGCCAGGCTTGCAGGAGTTCTTGTCCAGGCACCTCGGGGCTTTGTTTTCGTGTGACTGCTCCAAGCCCTCACACAGATGGAGGCTGCCGGCTGCTGGAGAGAGAGGTGGGGGGTGGGATGAAAGGGGGTAATGCAATTGCTTTTACTTCATACAGGTCCCTCTGGCAGCAGACAAGCATCTCTGAAGCAGCCAGGCAGCCTGTAATAAGCAACATGGTTGGTGCCACTGATTCCACCGTGGCTTAGGGGCCAACTGGAGTGCGACTTGCTCACCGAGGCCACGGCTGAACATTTCACGAGTGGAATTTAGAAACGAGAACAAATTGATGTTTTTTTTTTTTTGGTTGTTTTTTTTAAATGGAAGGATTTCTTTCAAATGTCACAAGCTCTTGCAGACAGCCTAATTGGTTATATCCCCCCCTCCCCCTTTTGTTTTCTGCAAGACCTGAGAAAGAACTTTGAGGAGGAGCCGCAGGGCAAAGAGGTGGCATTGGACCAGGAGGTGTTGCTGCGCTGCCATCCCCCCGAGGGAGTGCCACAAGCTGAGGTGAGACACAGAAACGGGAGATATTTTTAGGCTCCCATGTAGCATCAGTCCAGCCGTCCCTCACCGGGGGGGGGACAAAGAGCACACTCGGCTTGGTGGTATCTTTCTGCATTCCACAGGGAACCGACAACCCTGCACAGATAAATTACAGCTCTAATTATTCCCTGTTATTGATTTATTATCTCTTTTACATCTCTGGGAAGCCATATATCACATCATCTCGTCACATTACTCAGGATAGGCTTGGAGGCTTCGCTCCCCGTTTGGCATCTCTAAAGGCCCATCTATAATGAATGGGTCTATTTGCCTCACTGTGTCCTTATCTCATTCTGTCTCTGTACGCGCAGCGTCTCTCATGTTCTACTCCGCTTCCTTTTCTCTCTGCTCATGTTTAGCTGGTGTGTGTTTAGAGGGCCAGAGTGGTGCCAGCTGTTTCACCTCATGCGCTGCATCCTCCCGGTCCCAGATAAGCACTAACTGCTCTAATAACAACACAACAGGAGCTCGGGCTCTGAGCTCAGACAGCCAAGAGACGAGGGACGGCGGACGAGCCAATCACGGCTCGACAGTGAAGGGACTGTGTGGAGAGAAATGGGAAGGAAGGTGCCAACTGCGGTTCAACAGAAAAGAACATGAGAGCAGAAGTCACCGCAGGAGAAAACAGAGAGAGGAAGAAAGCCCAATTATACGCGATATCGTGACTGGCAGTAAAACCAGCAACAATGCTGCCATACCACTGCTGCTCAAGAGACAGCACAAGGTCAAGTGAGAGCAACAAAACAAGCAGGCCAGTCCATGAATGTACCAAGAATTGGAAAAAAAGCATCAAACTTAGCTCCTGGAAAAGAATAAAGAAGCTGCAGAGCATGATTGGCTTTGGTCTCAGACCTCCAGCAGCGCCAAAATAAAAGCTGCCATCTCCTCACAGTAAAAAATGAATAAATATTCAAATCAGTGGACACAAGTTTTCTCTGTTTCGTGCCAGTTCAAACCTCTTTCTTTTGTTGGTCGGATTGCATCAGAAAAAAAAAAATCTGTTTTTCGTCGTCCGCACTGCAGAACAAGTTTCTGTGTCTCTACAGGGAGTTTTGACCATTAAAATGTATTTCCAGGTGGAGTGGCAAAGAAACGAGGATTTGGTCGACCCAGCAAGCGACCCCAATTATTTCATCACGACCGACCACAATCTCGTCATCAAAAAAGCACGCCTTGCAGACACGGGCAACTACACGTGCGTGGCCAAAAACATTGTCGCTCGCCGCAAAAGCAACTCTGCCACGGTTCTCATCTATGGTAGGTGATAACCTCTGTGAACAGATGTTAAAAAGACACATGTGGAAGCCGACAGCAGGTCCGGGCACATTTTACCACCATAAGTAATGCGGAACTTAAAGGAATCGCTTTCATGTACGCATGCTTTTTGTTATTTTCCTCATGAAACCATGCACGCTGCATGAAACAGGTGTTCTCTTGGTTTTAGCGTTTGTTTCATTACATCCATGATATAGTTTGAAGTTGTGTCAAATATGAAGCAGCGCTGCATGTGAGTGACATATGGTGACAACTTGCACTCGTCAGCTCTCTTTTTCACCAAGTAATGAACAGTAGTAGCATATCTGGACGTTAATTAACAAAAGTTTAAACGCTGCTGGCAGGATTTGTGAAAGAGCTGGCAGTCTCGGCTGTCATGGCTGCCATCTTCCTCCTCCTTCCCTCTGCTGTGGATCCAGGAGGAGGAAGAAATTGAATTAAGAGCAAACTGTAAATAATGACTTGGCTGGATAAGCAGAGTGACCTTTATTAAAATGCAGCATATTTGCTATCACAGAGGGTTCAGTAAAAAGCATCCATACACACAGATCGTCTTAACTCTCAGCTGAACGTTAGCAGTAAATGAAAATCACGAAGGAATGATTCATGAAATCACTTTGAGAATTAGGATGGAATATTTTGAAATTGTCAGACACATAATGGGTCTTGGATGCAATTTCCTGCAGAATACAGAACGATGGGCTGAGGAAGCAGAGCAACTTTTGACATATTGGCTATAGAGGAAGGCGGACGAGAATATTTTCTCCCTGTATATATGTATGTCTGTGTTTGAACGTTTGTCTTTTAGGAAGTTGATAAATATCTCATGAATCACTGGACAAATTTTATGGAACTTACAGAAAGTAATCGTCATTGGACATATATCTACATATCACTAGCTTTTGGAGTCAGTCCAGTTCAAGATGGCTGCCACAAACAACTGACCTTAGAAACAAAAAATGGCTATAACTCGAGCAATTTTACAGATATTTTGCTAACATCTGGTGTATTTGTTGCTGGGAGTCACAACACTTGTTTTTTTTTTTTTTTTTGGCTGCTCCTTTCTTCAGGGGTCACCACAGTGAACTAAGTCAAACTAACTTGGCAATTATTTTTACGCCAGATGTCCTTCATGACGCAATCACAGACCACCGAGCTACCACAGCCCTCTGTGGAGCAGAGAGCTGCTATCTAGGGCACCCGGGGGATCAGATGGTGGGGGTTAAGGGCCTTGCTCAACGGCCCAGAGTGGGGTAAATGAGGGTGGAGACAGGTGTGGATGCTTCACCAATCCCACCCACTTTTGATGTTGTTGGTACCGGGAGTGGAACCAACAATCTTCCGATCACAGGCCCACCTTCTCTAATCTCTGCACCACCACTCCCATTTTTTCTCACAAGTCACAACACTTATTCTAATCTTGCAATATTGCATAAGATAAAAACAAATAAAATATATATATATATATTTTGAAGGTTTGACCAGAATGGCTACAATTTTTTTCAACACAAGAAGCTCTTAATCTGAGAGTTGAAAATGTGGAATTAGCTGAAAAAGCTAATATTAGCATAAAACAGCTAATTAGTAGCTGCAGTTATTGAAACTAGCAGCAATAAGCTGAAAGGAGCATAAGAAATTGAAATTATCATAAGTATTTTATTTAGGCTGATAGTAGCAGAAAGTACCATGAAAATTTTGAATTTATCAGAAAACAGCTGAAATTAGCTTAAAATATGCTAAAAAGCTAGCTGAAAAGGTAGAACACGCTTAAATTAGCAGAAGAAAGCAATAAGAACATGTTTGCCCATTTAGGCTGAAAGAAGCAGAAATTAGCACAAAAAAGTGGAATTTACATTAAAAATAAAAGCTGAAATTAGCATAAAACCAGCTGGAAAGTAGCTAGAAATTGCAGAAAGAAGCTGAAGTTACTAGAAGGAAGTGGCGAGAGCATATTTTTGCTGAACTGGGCTGAAAAAAGTTTAAATGAGTGCAACAAAAGTGGAATTAGCTGAAAAAGCTCAAATTAGCATGAAAACCGCTAAATAGTAGCTGAAATAGCAGAACTAAGCTGAAACTTGCAGAAATATGCTGAAAGGAGCATAACGAGCTGAAATTAGCAAAAAGAAGTTAGAAGAAGCACAAAAATGTAGTTATCAGAGAATCTGAAAGGAGCACAAAAACAGCTAAAAAAATAGCTGAAAAAAGTTTAAATTTGCACAAAGAAGCTGAAGCAGAACAAAATGTGAAAGGAGCAGAAAAATGTTTAAACCAGGGGTGCCCAACCTTTTTTGAACCAAGAGCTACTTTTGAAGTCGGCAATTTGCCGAGAGCTACTCGTCCAGTCTCATTATCAACAAACATAATTTTTCATCAATCCCTACTCCTCACTTATTTAAAGTAAATAAAACAGAACGTGATGTGTCTATAGGAGACAACTTTTTATGCAAGCTGTATAAAATAAATGTGTCTCTACCTTAGTGGGACTTCTGACACTGAGAGGAGGAGGCCAGGGTCTCATAAGATGGGCAGTATGAGGTGGTTGCGAGGCGCAGGCAGGTCTCCAGATGATCATCATTCATTGTGGATCTGTTTTTGGACTTGATGATTTTCATGTGTGAAAAAGCAGACTCACACAGGTAGGTAGATCCAAAAAGTGCTGTTAAGTTCAAAGCACATCTTCGGATGTTAGGATACTTTTCTTCTGACAGCAGACTCCAGAACTCTCCATCCACGCCAGGTGATGCTCTGGATTTGATCCCAATGTCATTTTGCAGAGTGCAACAAATCCACTGGTGTGACCAGTCATTGCTGGAGCGCCATCAGTTGTTATAGAAATTAGTTTAAAGAGGGGCAAGTTGCTTTTATTAACAAACTCCATAAACACATTAAAAATATCTTCTCCTCTTGTGTGTCCCTTCAAAGGCAAGATGGTGAGCAGCTCCTCTTTTGCACTCATGTCTGCAAAGGCCATTCTGATAAAAACACACAGCTGGGCTACATCCACCATGTCTGTCGACTCATCAAACTGAAGAGAGAAACACTCACGTTGTTCCACGTCCTTTTTTAGCTGCTCCTCCACATCCACAGCCATTCCCTCACATCGCCGTGTCACTGTTTGTCTGGACAACTGCACGTCTTTAATAGCAGCTACGATCTCACTTTTATTTTTAAAATCATGAAAAAGCGCATCTGCAGCCTCAATAAACGCTTCTTTCATAACTTGTCCATCGCTGAAAGACTTCTTATGTTGAGCCAGGATGCGGCTAACACGGTAGGAAGCTATCGTAGCAGCTTTACCTTGTGTGCTGGGGCGAGTGAAGACTGATTGCTGGGCTGCAAGCTTGTTTTTTAGCTCCCGCACTTTCTGAGTCCGTAAAGAACTTTTAAGAGGGAAATCTGTCTCAAACCGTTTGTGCATCGTCTTGAAATGCCGCTCCAAGTTACACTTTTTGGGTAAGGCAACGCTCGAATTACAGATGAGGCAAATGGACTTCGAATTAGAATAAACAAAAAAATACTCCTCCTCCCACGCTGTGTGAAAATAATAAGTTTTCGTTTGCTTGTTCGCTAGTTTTCCATCCATGTTTTCTGCGCACCGACATTACTCCACTACTGAGCCTAAAGTCTCGTGAGAGCTGTGTCACCGCACACAAAACTCGTGAGACTATGTCTGTGAGAATACAAGTCAAGGTTTCGCTTTGCGGGAGACTGGGAACCAGCTCGCGGGCGACTGGTTGGGCACACCTGGTTTAAACGCATCTAAAGATCTGAAGGATGTGAAATGAGCTCCATTCATTTTCTATAGGGGAAAAAGTGGCAGAAAAGGCCAAATATTCCAAAAAGCTAAAGTTGCACCAATACCAAAATGTGAATACATTTATACCTGAACAAGCTGAACGTTTTGATTTATGATTTGTTGAAATAGCACAAAAACTGGAACGAGAAATATGCTGAAAAACGTACGGAAGAAAAATGGACCACAATAGATGAATACTTCATAAACATTCACACTGTTAACTACAACAGGCCAACGTGAACAATAACTTTGTACAAATGGTAGACAGATGTTTGATTAAAATTAAATTCATCACATACATCCTGTGTAAACGTAAAAAGTGTGCGTCAATGCCTTTTGATAGATAATCTAGTCCTGTGGCTTTCTGCATGCATCTTTAGGATTTGCAACATAAATTGAGAGAAAATGAAGCCCATTTTTCTAATGCTGGCACGCTCTTACGAAAGGAATCACAGGTTGAGGACTTTCCAGCCTTTATGACATAAAATATATTTGCTCAGACAGGGAGCTTGCTGCTATTAAAGCCAATTTAATGTCATAAATATTTCCAGGAGAAAATAGCCAAAAGATTTAATTTTGTCAAAGGTCAAAATGTTTCACCCGAGGAGGTCAACCGCAGTGTTTCATGAAATCCTCTCATTCAGCTCTACAAGTGTCAGAGGGCTAAAAACTAAATCTTATTGTCACAAACATCCTGACATCTCAGCCCTGGACAAAGATGTGCATGAGAGCAAGGTGACCGTGAGCCTTTTAATGAGGAAAGGTGTTCTTGAAAAGGTTTCCAAAAACAAATATTAAGTTACTGGATAGTTTTATTTGTTTAAGTATTCGCGCCTGCACAAGCGTTGCTCTGACAGTGGAGAGACACAGTGTAAATTATAAGAAGGACTTTCAGGGAGAAGTGTGGAGTCATTGATGTAGCTTAAATATATCAGAGCACTCCATAAATATACTCGATCACTGAAATATTCCACAGCTGCAGCCCTAATCTGAAGAGACAAATGTATGTACTTCTTGTCTTTGCATTTGCCTAATTGTGATAGATTTTTGTTGTTTTATTTGATTTGAAGGTTTTTAATATTCTAACAGTACCTTAAATTACAAATGTTAACTTCAAGTTAGTGTAACAAACTTAATTAACAGGCTTTATGAGATTTAAATAGGAGGTCAGTGTTAAAAATGCTCTAAAACATATTTGAAAACATGGCAGAGCACGAGTAAGAGAAGAGAAACTTACAGTAATTTACCAATTTATTGCTTTTGTTTGTTCATGCAACAGTTTGCTGAAAGGGAGCAGCCGAAAGATGTAAAAAAAAGTTGTTTTAAAGCACTAATAAACATTCCCACACCTCTGTGTGAAGGTGCCACTTTGGGAAATTTAAAGTACAGTGCACAGTTTGCAGAGGGAGTGTGAATGTGTGTGGGTGTATGTGCGTGAGTGCACGAACTTGCAGCAGAAACGTCAACACAAAACAAGGAGATATCAATTTGAAACGAGCTGTTTTTATACTTTAACACATGCATGCTGTCATCAGCTGGTGTACAACATCCTCACTCAGGCTGCAGCTCAAAAGTATTCAAAGCACAACTAAATTATAGCAAACATTTAAATGAGAGAGAGACAGACGCCCTGTGATGGACTGGAGACCTGTCCAGGGCGTCCCCTGCCTCTCACACAGTGACTGCTGGATATGGACTCCAGTGACCCTGAAAGAAAGAAGCAGCTAAAAATAATGGATGAATGATTTGTCCAATGATTCCTGGGATTTTTTGCTAACGGATTCAACAGTCAATGGGAAGGTTTTGAAGCACTGATCTGGTGGAGCTCTCCGTATGTGTTGGGGTGACTCCACTACAAATACACCAAGTGTTCACTCAGTATTTGTAAAACTGACATGATACATTTCTAGTCTTGTGTAGTTGTAGTGGCCATCTTGAATGGGGTTGACCATCCAGTGTTCACTTTTTGAGGATTTCATTAAACGCTAGCCAGTAGTTCACGTGATATTTTGCTAACACACACACACACATAAAGACAACAGCTAACGTTGGTCTTCTCTTCCTGTTCTGTATACACCATAGACATATTATACTGATAGACCAAGTGTCTCCATCTTTTCTTGTTTTTGGGAATTGAATCCAGCTGGATCAGGTGCACGGGAGCTGCCATGTTGCATTTTTAGAACCAGAGTCTCTGGGGATGTGGGGCTTCAAGTCCTGCCTACCACCCCTACACACCATCATGCTGTCACCTTGTTAGTAAAATTAATATAAGCACAAACAGCAGCAAGGTTAGAACTGCATAAATCCAAAGGAGCAAAACATGAATAATTCTGAGATATAACACCAAAGTTCATGCTCAGTAATCCAGCTGATAATCCAACTATGCTCACTCAGGTCATCCGGACGGCTTCTTTTTTTGCTGAGACGTTTCGTCCTTCATCCAAAAGGCTTCTTCGATCTGAGGAGCCACTAACAAACTGAGTCCCACCACAAACACCACACTCCCATAGCGAGAAAACAAAACATTTTGGTGGTGAGAAGATGTCCTCCGGGGCCCGCCCTCTCCCCCGTCAACTCCCCATAGATATGTTTTACTGTTTACGAAGGGTAATATCCTGTTTGTTTACATGGAGAGAGGTAACACTGGTGCTGGAACACAGCTGATAGGGTCTCATTCAAACTTCACCTTCTGTGTTCCTGTCCCACGTCTACTTATATTTAGTCTTTGATGTACACGTCATAAGATGAAGATGCCTGCGAAGAATACGTTTTAATTCAACTTGTAAAGTATTTTTTTTTATTCATAGTGTAGTTTCCTCAAAAGCTTATCTCAATATGTGTCTAGTTAAGATACAGAAACTCTTCACAGTATGTCTCAAGGTCTTTAAATTCAGTTCAAGTAAATGTAGTTAATTTAGGACCGTAGACAACAGAAGTCATGACCTGCTCTAATTCAGATCCAGTTCTATCCAGTCTAATATGAAAATTCAAAATGACAATCTAGTTTCCATCATTTGACACATTGTCTTTGCACATTATTGCATAAATTTATTATGTATGTGTTGTGCAAATATTAAAAAAATATATTTCTGAGTACTGTATTTTTCAGACTATAAGGTGCATTAAGCGAAACAAAACAGTCGGATAAGTCAAACTTTATTCAACTCGTTCACAATAACAAGCTAATAAAAAGTATAACCAGAATTAATACATAAGGCGCACCTGCATAAGGCTCACTGTCGATTTTTGAGAAAATTAAAGGATTTTAAGTGAACTTTATTGTCAGAAAAATACATTATTATACATTTTATTAACATCACTTTTGCATTAATACTTGACAGCAACAATATTAAACAGTAACAAAAATTGTGTCTAAGTTGATTCCAAATGATCTTTTCAGCCTTTTTTTTTTTTTATTTTTAGTTTTTAAATTTGACCAGATGCAAAATCTAAAAGGATCTGTATTTTCAAATTAATGCAGTATGGTGAGGTTTTTAGAAGAAATGTTTTAATTTTAGAGTGTGTAGTCAAAACACACATCTTCATACACTCCATTCAGCCCCGGGCATGAAAATAAAATGTGCAATTATGCTTTGCACTGATTATAATTGATTAGTTTTCTTTTAAAGAAATAGTTTTTTTGTGGAGGCAAGAGCATTCGCTGTTGTGCCGTTTGCTTTTCTAGAATAAAATATGTTTTATTTGTTTTTAGGACTGCTGGTAAACCCGCTTCTTTTCTTCATATACGCTTAATTAAAATGACGTATGATGAAGTTAAGTGTAATCTGTTGACAGCAGACCTGTTACTGATTTCCACTACTATTACTGAGCTGTTTCCTGATCTTACAGCAGGAAACATTAGTTTCCCTGTCTACCATGCTAGTTAATCTCCCTATCGGTAGCAAGTCCTAATAACCGCTACTTTTCCAAGGCAGTTCAACTGGGGGCCAGAGAGGCATTTTAACGAGGCCGGGCTGGTGTGACTGCACTCTGCGCTAAGAGGTAATCAGAGGCTGAGTTGCCTGGCAATTTACCTCTCTGTGCCGGGCAATCAATTGCATAGAGAGGGCGAGGAAATGATTCAGCCACGACAAGCACGGAGATTCAGAGGGAAATTAGGACAGGAGTATGTACAGAGAGGGAACGACGGTGCTGCTCAGGTCAATAAATCAGGAATCTCTGTACTTCATAAGCTGAGGAAAGCAGAGTGAATGCTGGGACAAAACCAGCAGGAATTGATGTAATCACCTCTCTTGATTGAGACACTAAAGCTCCAGTTATTTGGCAATTCACAGGAAAGTATAGGAGACGATCACCGGTTCAGTAAGTGGCTGCAGTAATAGAAAATCAGTGTTTACCGTGCATGAGCCGACTGAACTTTGGTTACAGGGAATGTTTTAGTTTAAAGAAAGATGCACAGGGATGAACCAGTGGTGACAAGTACAGAAAAATGTGATCTGCAGTCTAATTATTCTTCAGTCTGTCTGCATTTTCAAGGACAAGGTGTACTTTTTAATTAATAATTGGCGTCGGTGTGGAATGGCATGGCTTTACCGTGACATTTTTCCGGTGTTTCATGCGACCTTTGTAAATGATCTGAGTAAAAATTAGATTAACTGTTTAAGATGTCCACTTTGCAGCACCTGTCCTCAGAGCTGAGAGGAGAGATGGCAAGTTGTCAGATTGTTTTCCGCTCCCCGTTGACGCCATCTTGTTTGTTCACCGTTTTTGGCTGTAATTCCAGCTCACACAAAGGAAGCAAGTCCCCCCACCCCTCGATCCTGCTCTCTCATGTGTTCACCTTGCAGTGTGGAGCCACGGAGCGTAAAAGCAGTCACGATTTTTCTTGCGCAGCACACCTTTTTTTTTTTTTATCATCCCTCCTCTTTTCTGCATGTCGGGTAATCCTGGCTGCTCTGTTCCTTCATCCATCCTTCCCTCCCCCTTACCTCTCCATTCTTCCCCTCCCCCCGTCTCACGGTGTTGGTCTGACAGTCAACGGCGGCTGGTCCACGTGGACCACTTGGTCGTCCTGCAGTGCTGTGTGTGGGCGTGGCTGGCAGAAGAGGAGCCGGAGCTGCACCAATCCTACGCCGCTGAACGGAGGCACGTCCTGCGAGGGGCAGAACGTCCAGAAAAGTGCCTGCGTGGCCACCTGTCCAGGTAACTCCCAGGCGACCCCTGTGTGTTCTGTGGCGCTTGGCTTCCCGTGGCTTCTTCTTCTTCTTTTTTTTTTTTTTTTTTTGTTGCATCTAGAAGTCATCAAATCATCTTTTTTTGGCTGCCCTTCTGTACAGCACCTTCAAGTTTTAGGTTTTTTTTTTTTGTAGATGCTGTAGAAGCTTTTGTTGCTTTCCGCAATTAGTCTGCTTACTCAGCAGTGTCGGAGCCTAATAAGGCCTCACCTGAAAAGTGATTTATTATCAGACTTTGTTCCTTTCATCATTTGCACTGCGCACACACCCAACTTTTATTTTAGTCACATTTCTGCTTGAAGCTCATCCACGTGATCCCAGCTTTGGTGTTGTGTCACAGCTGCTTGCACATTCGTTAATATTAGCCGCCTAAGCTGCTTAGTAAATGTGAGCAACACAAAGCAGAAATATGCTCCTTGTGTGTTTTATTGAGGGCATCTCATTTACCACCTTGGTATCCTTTGTGAGAGCGCTGGAGAAGTAGTGTCCTGCCTGATAGTGAGCAACGTTTATTGATCTCTGGGAAGTCAAGCTGCCTCATTTGGAGCCGTGCATTAGCCCCCTGACAGTGGAGAGACAACAAGGCAGGAACACTGAGGTGTACGATGAAAGCAGGGATAGAAACGGATGGAATCCGATATAATGGAAGAAACGATAAAAAAAAAAAAAAAGAGAGAGGGAGAGAGGATGAGCATTCACAACCAGGGAGAAGTTGAGAAAGGTTGGCTGTTTGGATGTGAGGACACACATCTGGGATGATGCAGCTGTGCTGACTGCAGGAGAAATCTCCCACCTTCTGTAAATATCAGACAAGGAAATGCAACACCTCTGGCAGCATCTCATCACCTAAAACTGAGGTTATCTCGGTGGATCAGGGTGTTTCCTTACATGCAAAGACATCACTGGACGTCAAGAACGAGTGTAAGTAACACGGCCCACTGGAATACACAGCAGCAGCTGGAGGACGACGGAGAAAACACAACACCGGGCTCTGGATGGAGTTTAAACCATCGAAGCTGCAGAAAAGTAGTAATGGAATTAGAATTAAAGCGGGGCCCAGGGACGCTTGACATTCCTCCACAGCCAAGCAGGATACTGACCTCCCTGAGCTTAAAGAGATTAATGTCAGTCCAAGCTGCTATTGTTAGACAAAACCTCCCTCCCTCCATCTATCTGCTGCTCCGTGAGAAGAAAGTGTGTAATTCCAACTACAAGGGAGCTGTGGCAGAAACTGCATTGTGCCCTGCGAACACATTTTACAGAGTTTGGGGAAGAAAGAACTCAATTTTTTACTGCTGATGAGAGATGCTAGAGCAACATGACCCCACTTACACCTGTCTGTCTTGTTGTTTGGCAACTGAGCGTAGTCTCTGACTCCTTCCCCCTCCCACTTGTTACCCATCTGAGACCAGTTCCAGACCTCTGCTGTCAACACCTGGAGAGGCTAAAGTCTGAAGTTATCCCTCTGCAACACACAGCCCAGCAATTAAATCTCCAATATGAATCCTTATTTGATTCTTCTCATACATGATTTACAAGTGGATGAATTGTGAGCATATATGCATGAATAGACAAAAAACAAAGCACACGCTCTGCAACAGCGCAGCAGAGAGAACGACTTACTGCGTTAATTATCACTGAGCGAATAGTTTTCACAGGTCTGCAAAGTGATTTTGGTCCGTCTTGAAACGAGACTTGAGAGGGATGAACTGCATGTGGCAATGCAGCATGATGCTATTCATTCAGACACGACTGACATTTGGATACAGAAGTAGTGTTCTTTATTTTTTTTATGTCAGCCTTGAGAGGTTTTTTCTTCCCTTCCTCCACACTGCTTTTGTTTTCGAGCTGCGCTGTGAAAATTATATGATTTAATGCTGGTCTTGTTTCAAGACTTCATTAATTATCTAAACTTGGAGTTCTGTGTTGATTATTAGCTCCCTGGCGTGTTTAACTTTCAGCATTAGTGCTTTGAAATGAATAACACAAAACTTGATTTTGTTGTTTTGCTGCCTGTACTGGTTTATTCGTTATTACAGTCTGTTTTGTGTTAAGCTCATTGTGGCTGACTGAATTTTTGTTGTGTTCATCTTTTAGGGATCGACGATGCTTTAGCTGAATTTAGGATTATGTTTTAAATCGACAAGATGCAATTCTTGTAAAATAAGTGCAATGTACTAGGCCTGTTGCGATAAACACTAAATCAATGAATCGCATGATAAATGAAAATTATCAGCCTCACTTTCATTTATCGGTTTTATCGTTTCTTCACGTCTCTCTTTCTGAAGACATTGATGACAAAAGGCTCAACTCCGGTGCTCTTCTATGACCCCTCCTTTTCTCTTTTCTCTTTAAAATCCATTTTAACCGTCGAAAATTGCGTTTTTGGATCGTTAAAAGCAGCTATGCTACAAGCTAAGCTAACAGGCCAACCTTGGGGAAAAACCTCCGTCTTGTCGATGCTCCAACATTCACAGTTGAAACTCGTGCCTTCGTGTAAAAAGTTGTTTTTCTCTGCAACAAGAAGCTGAGAACTTGTTTACTGATTTTTTTAATTAAAAGCTTTGCGTGGCAAATGCTATGCTAAAGAGCTCAAACCACACCGAGCGTCCGCCATTTTGAGAACAGAAGAGAGACGGCCCATGTCACGTCAAGGGGCCTCGTCATTCCCCAATCTGTTATGGAAGCACGATCCGTAGTGCACTTCCGGGACGCACGGATTGTCGTTGTTTATGAATAAAAACTGTCTTAATTTACTTACAAAAGTACATGCTCTATCTCCACTTATCTTCTTGTAGCTAATTTATGCCACTCGTATTTCTGTTACAAATCACTGGTTAAGGTATGCGTCGCATTAGACCTGACCCCCAGCCTGGGCTGAATGACGAAAACCCTGCAAGATACAGATGACTTCCACGATGAAACAGCGCCACTCAGTGGTGAAGCTGCATATCATTTTAACCATGATGTAAATATGGAAATGATTTTAACGGGTATACGAGTGGCGTAAATTAGCTACATGAAATTCGGCGGAGATAGAGCACGAGCTTTTCTAAGTAAATTAAGACAGTTCTTATTCATAAACGGAATTATTACATTGTCTAGGAAAATTTATAGAACTATATGTTTAAATTAATATTAATAAATATGGTATGTTTCATAAATATATTTTATTTATATCAAGTAATTATTTCCAGTACATTTTCCTTAATCTAGCATATTCAACGGCAATCCGTGCGACCAGCAAGTATTCCTTTTAGCGCATGCACAAATGAGCTAAACTACGGATCGGCTCCCATAACAGATCAGGGAATGACTGGCCTCCCTCCCATTTTTCTTAAAGAGACACGCTGCTCGCTCCCTCGCTATCCATCCTTCAGTTCAAACTGTTTTACACTGCCATCCAGTGATCAAAAAAGGTACTACACACAAAAATTAATGCATTGCTTCTTAAATTTGACAATTATTACTACTTATTGTCAAATTTCAAACAATATTATCATTTATCACAATAATTTCTGAGACAATTAATCGCCCAGCAAAATTTGTTATCGTGACAGGCCTATAATGTCCAGCCAAGTCTTTGTTTAGTTGAAATGCAGACGGTCATTAGTTCTACGTTTAAAAATTACAAAGCATTTTCATACATAGCAGCTTCACAGGCTGCCGCCGTCGGTAACAAAGCTCTCCGCACGTCTGTTCACAATGACTCTTGTGTCTAAATGTGAGCTCCTACCTCGCGTCAGAGGAAAGTGTGAAGCCAGAGAGGCTCATCTGTATTTTTGTCTAAGTCTCCTCAGTGTTTAATGAGAGTTGGCGGAGGCCTGTGTGGCGGATCAGATGGGCTCCATGCTGAGAGAGACGCAGGGAGCTGTGGAGGAGGCTGAGGCTAAAGCCCAAGGCTGAGAGCAGATCAACACTTGAGACAGCGAGTAGCCAAACTATGCGAGAGCTTTTCTCATTTTTCTCCTTCCACTTTTCTTTTCTTCTTTTGTTTCCATCCTATCGCATCCTGCTGAAGTATCCCAGATAATTCTCCAGTCCGTCTTATTAACTGCCCCTGGACCGACTTGTGGTCTGAGCCAACAGTCGTGTCCGATCACGCCAACATTTCCAACGACGAGCCAGAAAGCAGCACGGCGACACCAGCTCCACACAAATCAACGTCGCCCGGAAAGAAAAGGCAACGCCAAACAACCTGAGGAGATGTCTAAACTCGTGTGAATTATTTAAATTTAGTAATGATCCCTCTGGCTTGCCAGAGGAGTTGTGAGAATTCAGTTAGATGAAAAGTAAATAGACTCGGGCTTGGTGTCTTTGTGCATGCGCTCGTGTATGTGTCTTTTCTTTTTTTTTTTTTTTTTTTTCTGCACGGCATGCAAAAGTCTAATTCTGCTTTAGAAGTATGCAGTCACGCGTTTGTGGATATCATCACGGATTGTTCTGCAGACTGCACATTTTATCCATAGAATAAATGGAGGCTGTGGAGGATAAATGTGGCAGCGCAGCACATTAGTTCGCTGTGAAAAGACGGTGGCCATCTGGTGACAGCCTTGCATCATTTTTATTCATTTGGTGCCATTTGTTTTAGCCCGCCCACCCCCCTTCATTCCTCACTCTGTCGCATTTTGGTTCGTTTCAGTAGTTTAATCACAAGAAAGTAAACTCAGCATTGTGTTTTTACAAAAATTAATATTACTCCTTAGGATTAGAGACTCTGTGATTCTTCTGCCTCATCCCAACTTCTGTGATGTGCTGAAGAAAAATCCTTTCCCCCCCACTCCATGAGCCTTTGATCACTTGGATTAGGGGTGGGCACTGCTGTGTTGACAGGACAGTGGGAGCAGAGAGACACCCTACTGGTCTCAGTGGTACTTGTCCGCCTCCTCGTGTTTCCTTCAAGGACACAGAAGCCACGAGTGTTCAGTGATCTCAGACTGTGTCCGTCAGCAGCCATTGTCATTTTGAGCAGCAGCGTCTCAAACAGGCCCTCCCACTGACCTGCAGAGAATAGTGGGACTCTTTTCGCTTCTACACTTGGCAACACGTTCAAATGGGGGCTTGCCACTGGGTTATTGTATTACCGTTCCTCCTCGGAGACCTGCCTGACCTGACACCTGTGGCGCTGCATGATTGAAAATCAGCTAAGGTGCCTTTTGCTGTGGCACTAAAAATCTCTTCTGGAGAATTGGTAAGAAAATAAATATAGTCGTGTGGATTAGTTTCTATTATATACACCAATAAACATAAAAATATATATATTTGCTTCTAATTTGTATGTGAAAATCTTAAATTCAAATGTAAATTGACCAATTTAAGTGCATATTTTGTTAAGAGGAAGCGTTGTCTGTGCTATTACTACATTTATTTGGTTGTCGCTCACATGGAAGGCGTGTTTTCTTCCTGAAATATATGACCTGCATTCACAGACGGGCAATCAAGGCCTGTTTATGCGTTTTTATCTTTCTTTTGATTTGCCAGCGCCTAGCATCGCACTCCTTGTCTCACATCTCCTTCCTGAAGCATCACTTTGTTTCCACACCAATCTCCCTGTTTGAAAATGCCATTTGCATGGCCATTAGTCGTGCTTTGTGGTGGAAAAGAGAAGTGGAATTTTATCATCTCGTCAAGGCAGATGTTGATCTCATCCCTTTATATTTCACAGCGGCGTGGATAAACTGAGGGGCAACATAATATATTCATTACGATGTAATTTGCTATTCAATCATTTTCATCCCCAGCCTGGACAATCAGCCCACTGGCCCAGGGATGGGTCCACTTAATGCCAAACAAGGACAATTATCTGATTGGTTCTGCTCCCTCTGCCAAATGGATCTGACTCCAAAAAAAATAAAAATAAAAATAAAAAGATCCAAGCTGTGTCAGCATCCAGCCACATACAAAGTGCTCTCAAATTCTAGCAATCATTTGACAACACTCGTAGACAAACATACAGATTTTGTGTGAGAGCAGAGTTTAATTCACACACTTGGTCTAATTTGCTCATCAGCTTGGCTTCCCAAATTGAGAATTGCTTGAAAATCAAACTGAACCACTTTTTTTTTTTGGTCCAATTATGAAATAATATGCGGCCTCACTTATGTTTTATTAAGCACGGCCTCATGAAGGACAGTGAGTATGATCTGTTGTCTGGAGGTCATTTCCCCTGGACTTTTTATTGCTAGGATTAATGAACACTTAGGTTTTCTTACCTCTCTGATCGGTCAGGGGAAGGGTCGCTGCCACAGGAGTGTGTGTGAGAGAACAAATGAACGTCATCAGGGCCCCCTTCATCCTTACATTTGGAAAAGAGAGCGAGGCAGAGGTGTTTTCCCCCCATGAGAGCTCATTACTGCTCTTTTTCCCATTAGCCTAATAGTAACCTCCTTCAGGCTCCGACGCTGTGTCGCTCTCAGTATCACTCCACCACCGGCCACAACGCCAAAATTACCCCCACCTTTGTGAAATGACTTCCTCCTTTGTGTGAAGAAGAGTCACTGATATTTCTTATAACGAGCCGTGCTCAGGACCATTACGGCCCCATTTTCATTTGTCTCATTTTGCTTTGTGCTGTTGACGGGCTGTTTGAAGTCGTGGCCGGTCTGCAGGTGTGCTGTTCATCCTCCCCGGCTCAGACCGAGACCTCCCGCTTTGCGTTTTGCATCCAGTTGCGATGCTGCAGTTACCGCGGTAACATCTTGTTTGACAAAGTCATCAAACTGAAAGCAGGTCGTTTAATTGAACCTGTGTTCACTTATTCAGGAGACTTGAAACATATATGTTTGACAGTGGAATGGAACATACATTTTCCAGAGTAGATCCGGTCTGCTGACAGCTGGGGTGGCCAAGCAGCAGCGCCTTCACACCGGTGGGGGTTTAACCTATTTGCATCTGATTTCCATGATGAAAATAAACAATGAGAGCAGAAATGAGACAACCTGGCTCTCCTCAGCAGTTTTACACGCTGCGGTTTATCTGTGCAGCCGCTGGATTTAAGTATGAGCAAGTGGATTTGCATGTCTTTACCAGATTTACACTTTCTATTAAAGGGTTTGGACAACGTGGTAACACATGTGAATATACCACTGCTTCTGCACCACTGGAATTATAAAATTTCATATTTGTAAAAACAAACAAAAAAAGGAAGTAGTTCTTAAATTGAACTGTTTAGCTTATTTTTTGAATAAACTCAATTGTGTGAGTTTTAAAGTTTGTGTGTGTGTGTTTGTAGTGGATGGAGGCTGGAGCGAGTGGAGCAAGTGGTCGGCGTGCGGCGCAGATTGTTCGATGTGGAGGAGCAGGGAGTGCACCCAGCCCTCGCCCGGCACCGGGGGCAAAGACTGCCAGGGGCTCGACCTCCAGTCTATAAACTGTACCAGCGAGCAGTGCCCACAGAGTGAGTGCAAAACCACACACACTGCAAACTTTATCACTGTTTAACTCCAAAACTATGGAAAATATGAAGGTTTGGACATTTAACTCTCCCCTTTTTGACTGAATATAAACATTTGAACACTTAAGAAATGAAAGCAACTCTTAAATCATAACTAAATACTTTGACTCAAACAGTACAAAGTTCCTCCAATAATCATAATTATTCCCCAGTAGGAGGTGGGCTATAGATAAGTGAGAAGAAATTACCCTCATGCTTTTTATCTGTTTTAAATACCGTATTTTCCGCTGTACACGTCACACCTCCATATAAGTCGCATCAGTCCAAATGTGTCTAATAAAGTGGGAAAAACATAAATATGTCACTTCACCATATTAGTTGCATGTATTTTGTGTCACTATAACAACCCGGAAATGTGGGCCGCTGTTGTGCCAAAAATCGATTGGCTGCCAAATGGCATCCGTGGGAGCGTGCACGAGAGGACTTTAACAAGAATTTAACAAGATTAACACTTAAAAACATTTATTTGTTTGCTCGAACTTATAGCAAAGGTGTATCTCAGTTTAACTTTTCCTTAATAAATGCACTTTAATGGTCAAATCAGCTGCATTTCGCCTGGGCTGCGTGGCAAAATGCAGCTGACTTGACTTTTGCTCCAAGAGTTCTGGAGCGAGATGAAGGTGGCTTTGTGTGGCAAGCCAAGTGTGCCATTAATAGCCACTTTAACGTATTAATGAAACACTTGGCTTGCCATACTAGTCGAGCGCCCTCTAGCAGCTGAAAATGGTAGTGTTCAATATTTTCCACGTCAGAATGAATGAAATCGTCAGATCTCAGCCAAAAATTGTTTTATAATATCTTCCACTTTACAAAATGGAGAGGCTTCTTTTTTATTAGGTTAAATAAGCATCCCATCCTTCCTCATGGCGTTGGCTTTAGTGATGAACGTTTAACTTCAGAAGAAGAAGATAGTCCTTCCCATCAGGCAAGTGTTCACACATTAGGTTCATCAGTTGCCCACTGCTGGCTCCTCACTGCCTGCTTGACCTTTTCAGGTGATCGTTTCTAATTAACACCCATGCGACACTTGCTGCTAAGATAATACACCGCCTTGCCACGTGGGTCGTCACTGTGACGCTCTCTGACCTATTAACAGAAGCGCCAATTGAAGCATCTCTCAACTGATTAAAACACAACCTGCCAGAGAAATGGCCACGGGTCAAACCATGAAAACACACTTAGCAGGGGTGTGTGTGTGCACTGTGATTACTCTCAGGGGTGAAAATGCTTTTGTGTTGCACTCTCATACAGACACAGGTCACTGGCAGGACGCCTTAGTTTATATGTCAGCTGCTCCACTGTATGTCATAAAAAGTGCACGTTTATTCTGTGGAGAAAGAGAAACCACAGAGCTCATAGGGCCAAAGGAGAGAGCGGCACCGCGGGGTCCGATCCTGACCAGATGGACATGAGGAGAACGCTCCATCATTTCCCACAGATATCAAAAGACAGAAACATATTGCAGCTTCTCATCCAGAAACCAAAAGGGCAGCGTCTTAAATAGAAAACACTATAAATAGTTATCTGCGTGGTAAATTCTGAAGTCCTAATGGGTTTTCACTTGACATAAGCCGATGAATTAATAAACTGAGTTATGCATCTTGCACTGATTGACGTGATCAAATGGACTGATGCATGATAGTATGGGCTGGGGGTTGCATAATGCCTGCTGGGATCTACTGTATGCGAGTGTTGCTTTTTTTTTTTTTTATATAGGCGTTAGCAGCACTCTGTGTGCATGTATGCGTGTGCGTCTCAAGCAATAGCTGAGTTTGGCTGGTGCAGTGATCCAGTGAGCTCAGTCGGCCAATCATCAAAGGTCAGCAGCTCCTCCTCAGAGAGGCAGGAAATATACACAAAGATGCCAGTTATTGTCCCTCTCTCTCTCACGCACACAGTCACTCAGTATTTATAGTGACAGTGTAAAGCTGAGCGCCGGCCTCTGAAGAGTGCCTGTCCCAATCTGTTCCTAGCAGATGCGTTTCCATAGACAATTGCTGTGTGAAGTATTAAAATAAGCAAAGTAGCAAAGTGGTTTTGGCTTGTCAGCAGCTCCCAGACTTCAACCATATCTGCAGGCTATTAGCTAAGATGGAAAACATTCCCCCTGAAACAAAAGACATCCTTCTCCTCCATTGTAATTGGGGGAAAAAAAAGAAACAAACAGCAGAAGAAGTCACAGTCACAATAAAATGAAAGCTGTGCTCTGTCTGAGGAACATCTCTAATCTTCATTATGTTAAAAGTGACACGTGTCAGATGAGGTGATTTGTTTTTGGGCTTTGCACGAACTAATCTGAAGTCCCAGTTTTGTGTTACAGCTGGGAGATAGAAAAAAAAACAAAAAAACAACAGATCTAATTTGAGCAGGATCATTTTCATAAAGCAAACAAGCGAAGCCCAAGATGTAGCTATGCAAAACCAGCGCAGGGAAATGCTAAACGTGCTGGCACCGTGCCTGAACCAAAATGGTAGACAGGTGTTGGAGGGCACCAAAAGGGTAGCGGGCAAAAACAAAAGCGCTATTATTCTCCGGCACTGGAAATTAGAACAACATAAAAACAATTATTTGGCCTAATGTGCGTAATGAAGGTAATGAACTTAATTTTCGGCAGCAACCCATTCTGGGGTGTCACAAATAATTGGGCAAAGCACATCAAGCTATTAATGTGTTTTTAGCCTGTTTTATTTGGATTTGGAGGCTAATTTTGTGGCAAAGCAGCCACAAGGTTTTCCTTTTTTTTTTTTTTTTTTTCCTTTTATGGGTTTGTTTGTCAAAGCAGGGTCATGGCACTGTGTGAAAAATAACCAGACATGTACTTTGAGCCATATTTCACCAGGAGCCACTGAGGGATGGGACAACTGTATTGTGGAGATAGTAATGGCGGCGTTCACTTTGAGGGTTTTAGTAGCCATATTTCCCTGACCTTAAGAACTCTTTGATAATTCATCTTCAGGCGGCTGACTACGATTGGCCATGGGATGAAATATATTCTCATGTCTCCTGATAAATGCCCAGGGAGGAAGCACGGCAGGCTCCGGAGCTCTTATTTATCAATGCAGCAGAGAGAAAGAAGCAGGTAGAGAGAGGTGGGGACTGTAAGAGGTGGACAATGTGCTGACTGTCAATACAGCAGGAATCCAAACTTCAACAGAGACCAAATTCATCGCCTCAGAGGAGATGAATTATAAGAGCCCATCTGAAGTCAGAAACTGATCCCTGACCGGCCAGCCCTGGAGCAAGTCTGAGGAGCTGAAGTTGAAGGCTTACAGAGAGAGGAGCAAACAGAGATTGGCCTGCGGTCATTTCTGACAGAAAAATAAAATAAAACAAAACAAAAACTCATCACATTTCTAGACTGTCCACAGGCAGGTGTCAATCATCACGAGGGGTCACGGAACAAAGAGATTCAAAAGTTCCTTTCCAGCAATTAAGTGAAGTAGAAATGGAGGCTGGGATGATGGATAGGGAAGAAGAGGAGGTAAATTGGTATGGAGTGCGTGAAAAGAGAGGGCACTTTGAACAGGGACTAAAGTAGAGCCCATCCAATTATAAAACCTGATTAGCTGTGTCAATTAAAAGTGTGATGGATGTCCTTTCAATTATTGGCTGGCATCATGGAAATCAATGAGCGCGGGGCCAGAGGGATCTGAGGGTGCTTGCAGTGAGCACTGTGATCGTTCTGCTGTGACACCTGGTGGGTCAGATAAAACGTCACTCAGCGATGCTCTGATAAGACACCGGAGATTACAGTCGGAACAGAGGAGAGGCCTCTGATTGACTGCCTTTATTGTCGCGGTGCGAGAACACTGTTCATGGGGAGAATAAGAGGAGAGATATTGGATCTTTGTATCTAAGGTTAGCCAGGTGTCTTTGGTGTGCCCTCAGAAAGCAAACGGCACCCTGCTAATGTGAATCACAAAGCATGTGGCTCATTTCTCTGAGGACGCCTCGTGCGTTTGTCTTCTGAATGACTGCACCACCCTTAGCAAACCACAGCGCCACCAGTCCAAATATCACAGCACCTTCACATCACATACGTAAACGCACCCGATGAGACATGCAGGGCAGGTGTGCGCATCCTGCAGGACCGCTCGTGCCACAAGTGTGCTCTGCGCACATGTTCTTAAAGAGAAAAGCACAATATCGTGTTTATCTTTAGCCGGTCGTTCACGATTGATTACTTGTCAAGAGATCCCTGGCTGTACGCAGCTCTGCCATAGAGGTTAGCCGAATATAATCCCACTACTTAAAGTATCAGATTGTACCAAGATAATCACCCATGAAATGGATTCTGGCATTTCTTTTCAAGCCTTGGGTACGTCAGTCTCAAGAATCAGGTTTTAGAGCAAAGGAAGGGGGGGATGACTAATAGATACTAAATGGTGAATAAATGTCAGACAAACAGACACTTTTTGATTTGTTAACGTTTCACCAACACCAATTAAAACACGAAAAATATGTGTTTTTAAATCAATGCAGTTCTAGTTTAGCATTAGAAAAGAATAAACGGTGATGATCTGATGACTCGAGTGTTAATCTTGTTTATTTTTGACTCGAACCTTTTGGACATGACACATTCTGCCTTCCTGTTGGCCTTTTTAATTGTAATTCGCCTTCTCGTACGTTTGTTCTCATCTTCTCGGTTCTGTCCTCCCCTCCTCCTTTTGTTGTCAACTCAGCACACGCCAGCCTGCAGCACTTTCACCTTTTCTGTTGTTCCCCGTCCTTTAAAGCTGCAGCGCTCGATGCATCCTCCCCCCCTTGACTGTCTCCAGTTGACAGCACTACGCCCCAGTGGCTCCCGGCCACAATGGCCTTCCACAAAGGCCTTGGGAACATCCTCCACCTCCGACACCAGATTCCAGCAGCGCATGGAGACAACTGCAGCAAATTCCATTATATAAAATACACACAGCTGCACGCACATTGTTTTTCTTGGCTTAGCTGTCATCTTCATGTTGCACATTGAGAAGAGCTCATGTGCTTTTGCAAGAACAGCCTGCAAAAAATGGAAATGCTTCATTTTTTTCTTATAAATTTAAAATGTCAAGATGTAAGCATGAAAGCCACATAGTCTATTTTAGGTCTTAAAATATGGGACATGTCACATGAAGAGCACATGGCACCTTACAGTGTCATTATCTGTTTAATTGTGTGAATGTTTATGAAGCGTTCACACTATTGTGATCCATTTTTCTAACATACGTTTTTTCAGCGCGATTCTTCCACACTTTTTGTGCTATTTCAACAAATCATTTATCAGAACATTCAGCTCGTTCAGGAGAATGGCACTATGACTTTTGGTATTGATGAAACTTTAACTTTTTGAAATATTTAGCCTTTTCTGCCATTTTATTCTCATAGAAAATTAATCGAGTTTATTTTACATCCTTCAAATCTGTAGATCTGTTTAGCTTTTACTGCTCCTTTCACATTTTGTTCTGCTTCAGCTTCTTTCAGCTGCTTTGCAGCTGCTTTTCAGCTGTTTTGTGCTCCTTTCAGATTCTTTCTGCTAACTACAACATTTTTGTGCTTCTAACTTCTTTCTCATAATTTCATCTTGTTATGCTCCCTTCAGCTTAGTTATGCTAGTTTCAGTTATTTTGGCTATTATTTAGCTGTTTTATGCTAATTTGAGCTTTTTCAGCTAACGCCACATTTTTTGCATTCATTTCATTTTTTTTCTGCCTAATTCAGCAAAACTGCTTCCTTCTGGTAGTTTAAGCTTCTCTCTGCCTTTTTAGCTACTTTTCAGCTGTTTTTGCTAATTTCAGCATTTGTCAGATAATTTCTACTTTTTAGTGCTCGTTTCTGCTTCTTTCAGCCTATTTGGACATATATGTGTTCTTTCCGCTTTTTTATGTTGATTTAAGCTTGCTCTACCTTTTCATCTACCTTTTTTAGCTAATTTTAGCTGTTTTCAGATGAATTCAGGTTTTTCATAGTAATTTCAGCTACTTTCAGCCTAATTCACCTTTTTTTCTAATTTCAGCTTGTTATGCTCCTTTCAGCTTTTTTCTGCTAGGTTCAGCTTTTTTTTTGCTCTTTCAGCTACTATTTAGCCGTTTTGTAGTATTTTTTAGCTTTTTCAGCTAATTCCACTGTTGTTGTTGCTCATTTTAACTCTTTCCACTTCCTTCAGGTAGTTTAGAATTATTTCTGCAGTTTCAGCTATTTTTGCAAATTTCAGCTTTTTTTTTAGCTAATTTCCTAATTTTGTGCTCATTTCTGTTTATTTAAACTTATTTTTAGCAAATATGTGTTTCTGTTTCCTTCTGCTAATTTAGGCCTGTTCTTCCATTTCAGCTACATTTCAGCATGTTTTTTTAAAGCTACTTTCAGCTGTTTTTCAGCAAGTTCTTCAGTAAGCATTCACACTGCATGTTTGCAGGAAATGCAGTTTCTCTTGTTTAACTAAATATTGGTTAAATAAAAGTTAAATAAAAAATGCAGAAGAAGCGTGTGAAGTAGCAACTTGTTTTGCTGATCAAAGTCACTTTTCACCTCAGTCCTGGAGTGTAAGTATGGATTTGTCAGTTTGCTGTTAACTGTCAGAAATGACGTAAAAAAAGAGCTTAGAAAACCCATAATTGGTGCCTGTCAGTCCTGAAAAGGTTCTGACCATTTCCAAACAATTTGGTGTCCATTATTTTACAGTGAGAGGTTTTAAAAGTCAAAAACATTAGAGACGGTTATTTTAACATTGGAACGAGTTCACTGAGAGGTCAGACTGTTCGATGCTCAGAGAACTTCCACCAGAACTACATCTCACATTCTCCTTACCATGATGAATAATAAAGTTCATAAAAGTAACGTTTTAAAATACTAAAAGCATATGACTTGTTGGATATATTGCCAGGAGAAAATCTCTCTTTGTAAAGAACTTTGCAGCGTGCGGTCTGACCAAATTACAAGACTTCAGAAAATAAACAGAGGAGATTTGACCAAAACCAAACATGAGAAATCAACTGTCAATCAAAGTAGTAGAGGGTTGATGATTTGAATTTCTCCAGGACATCCATGTAAAAGAGACTGATGATCTCAATGGATTTCTTCCTGGTAAAATAAAGTAATAAAAAAAATTGTTTCACAGCTGCAGACATAAAATTATATCAGATATAAAGTCCTTAAAATAATTTTAGGGTCAAGTGTAAGGCCATTTGTTTGGTAGTTTGAAACAGAGGTGGATATCAGGACAATAAATGCATCAGAAAATCTAAAACAAATTTGTGTTTGCATCTTTCTGAAAATATTAAAGCATTACAATGATCCAACCCAAGTCCAGAAAAATAACATTTAGTTGATTTTTCTATAAATTTGGTGTCGAGGATTCTTCTTTCGGCTGCTCCCTTCTTCAGAGGTCTACACGGTGAACTAACTACGAAGACTTAGCAATCGTTTTTACACCGAGTGTCCTTCATGACACAACCACAGACCACCGAGCTACCACAGCCCTCTGTCTGGAGCAGAGAGCTGCCATCTTGGGTGCCCGGGGGAGCAGATGGGGGGAGTTAAGGGCTTTGCTCAAGAGCCCAGAGTGGGGCAAACGAGGGTGGAGGCAGGTGTGGGTGCTTCACCTTTCCCTACCACATTTTGATGTTGTCGGTGCGGAGAGTTGCAGTGGCGACCTTCCGATCACAGGCCCACCTTCCCTAACCTCTTCGCCACCACTCCCATAAATGTAACATTAAGAATGCTGAGCGTATATCTCACGTGGCTTGGTTAACCAGATTCTTGATTGTGATCAGATTTTCTAAATAAGACTAAATCTTGTTTTGCTTAACGTCAATTGGCTTTTAAAAAATAAAAAGCATCCCCATACGTTAATGAACATAATGAACATTATGAAAAGGACTAAGACAGAAACATTCCTCGGTGACAGACTGATGTTAGACCAAAGGTACTTCAAAACTTCATAACTAAAGGTGGCTCCATAAGCTCCTGATAATGTTGTAATAAACACCAGCTCATTGAGTGTTTCAGTCTTGGTTAATTTCTTCTCCATCCTCCTCTTGCAGCCGTCAGCGGAGCCGAGGATGTGGCGCTCTATGTGGGGATGGTGGCGGTGGCCCTCTGTCTGACCTTGCTGCTCATCGTGGTCGTCCTGGTCTACCGGCGCAAGAAGGAGGGCCTGGATGCTGACGTGGCGGACTCATCCATCCTCACCACTGGCTTCCAGCCTATGGGCATCAAGCCCAGCAAGCCAGGTGTGTGGGCGCCACGGCCACGCAGGCCACCCCACAGCAGTAGGACACTGTTCTTTGTTCTACCCTCGTGTGTCCGTCCTCCCACCGTGACCGTGCAGCTTTCATCTACATGTAGCTCTAAACCTGTTTGTTTGTGGTATGAACGTGTTTACAGTGGTTCGTGGTGCAAGAAAGATTTATGATGTGTGTGGAATGTGTTTATTTGCCTGCCTGACACTGTGTTTTGCCACCGCCTCATTGTGAGGAAATGTACCCACTCTGTTTACTGCCTGCGTGGAGCCTCTGAGATTTAACAGCAAGTAATAGAAATACAACTGTCTGAGGTGGATGGAGATGTGGAGCTGGGCTGCAGTGATTCACCGTGAAATAAAAGAAGCTTTTATGCATTCTGGATGCTGAGCTGCATCCGAGTCCTGTTTGGAATCGATTGTTTAGCTGCTAAAAAGACAGACCGTGATAGAGGGAATAGGGAACGGTGGGGGCAGGAATTGACTGGCTTTTGGTAAAATTTGTGTTAGCATGCTGTCAAGCGTGTGCATGTGCTCAGTTTGCTAAACCATGTGTCCATTTCGGTGTTTGTTTCAGTTTCCTGTGTTGAAGCCGCCTTAGAGAGTGTGAGGTCTGTGATGTAGGCTCTCCTAGACCTGTCGCGATGAACAATAAATCAATTAATCGCATGATAAATGAAAATTATCAACCTCATTTTTGTGTCTCTCTCTCTTTCTACTGAAGACACTGGATGACAAAAGGCTCCAGTGCTCTTGACTGGCTCCTCCATTTTTCTTTTCTCTTCAAAAATTTGTTTTAATCATCTAAAATCGTGTTTTTGGATCATTAAAAGCAGCTAAGCTGAGAAGCTAAGCTACGAGCTAAGCTAACAGGCTGACCCCGGGGCGGGGGGGGGGGGGGGGCATCTTGTTGACGCTCCAGAATTCACAGTTGAAACCCTTGCCTTCGTGTAAAAAGTTGGGTTTTTTTGCAAAAAGAAGCTGAGAACTTGTTTACTGATTTTATATTAAAAGCTTTGTGTGAAAAATGCTATGCTAAAGAGCTCAAACCACAACAAGCATCCGCCTTTTGAGAACCGAAAAAAGGAACAAGAGACAGCCCATGTCACGTCTAGAGGCCTCCCTCCTATTTTTCTTAGAGAAACACTGCTCACTCCCTCACTATCCATCAGTTCAGTCTTATACTGCCATCCAATGGTCAAAAAAGGTACTGTAGTCAAAATAAATTAACCAACATTTCTTCTTAAATTTGACAATAATTACTAATTATTGTCAAATTTCAAACAATATTATCGTTTATGGCAATAATTTCTGAGTCAATCGCCCAGCAAAATTTTTTATCGTGACAGGCCTAGACTCTCCGCCCTCCCTCCACCACCACTCGTAGAGATTCACATGTTTCCTTTCTCTTTCCCATCTCTGTTTTCATTATTCACACAGAGAACTCCCATTTGCTAACCATCCAGCCTGATCTGACAACCACCACGACCAGTTACCAAGGCACCCTGCGCTCACGTCACGATGCCGCCGGGAAGTTTTCGATGACCAACGGGCCTCTGCTGGACCCGCTACCCAACGGCTCACACACGCTGCACAACGGCAAGCTGAACCCAGACCCTGCTGAGTTTGTAAGCAGGCTGTCCACCCAGAGCTACTTTAAAACACTCCCCCGGGATGTGGCCAACACATCCTACGGGACCTTCAACTTCCTGGGTGGGAGACTGACGATCCCCAACACAGGTGGGTTCTTCATTAAGTTTCCTAATGAAAACCCTACAGTGTTATTGTTCTACATTAAAGTGTGTGTGTGTGTGTGTGTGTGTGTGTGTGTGTGTCTGTGTGTGTGTGTGGGGGGGGGGGTTATAAAGAAGCCAAATGTTACAATCACTTTGTGTGTCCTAAGCTGCATGAAAATGTTCTCAGGTTGTCACTAAGGTTACAGATTAAATATTGCTGTTGGAACGGAACAGTTGAGAAGCATTTTGTGGCACTTTAACACACGGATTAGTCCTGTGAAGATGCTGTAATTGACCTTTAATGAGGATGCTGAAATGTAAGATGCAAAGTGAGACTTCAGTAGATCCATAGTTGAACTTTACTATCAGATTGTAGCACTATGTCAAAGTCAGAGTTTCTTTTTTGTCATTCGCACCACATGTGGTACATGTGGTGGAACAAGATTGTGTACTCAGGGTCCCAGTTACATCCCACAATAAAATGTAAAAGAAAAACATTAATAAGATCTAATATGAACTAAGAAAAACATAAACTAATAATACGCTAAGCACTAATAGCATAAAAATAATAAAAACAACACAACAAACAGCAGCACGAACATGAACACATCAACATGAAACAGATCAGCAGCAACATGAAACAGATCAGCAGCAACATGAAACAGATCAGCAGCAACATGAAACAGATCAGCAGTAACATGAAACAGATCAGCAGCAACATGAAACAGATCAGCAGTAACATGATGTAATTCTTCAGTGATTATCCTGGTTAGGAAAATCCTGGAGCACGAAATAATCAGACCAAGACTTGATATTTGGAAAGGATAGTCTGCTTCTAACAAGAGGATTTTTATAAAAAAAATTATAGACTAGAACTATAACTGCTAACATGCTTAAGATCCTCAAGTTTGATCTGTGAGCACAATGTAAAGATTAGCAGCACATCACAGACATCTACACCTCCAGATGCAGGAAGAGGGCCACCTGCATCATGAAGGACCCCACTCACCCAGCACACAATTTTTGCCCCGCTCCCCTCAGGCAGGAGGTTGAGGAGCATTAAGTGTAGAACCACTAGACTGAGGAACAGCTTCTACCATGAAGCTGTTAGACTCATGAATCTCTAACCCAAAAGAGACCTTTTAAATTTGGGTTGATGAAAGCTCACACTCTCTCTCCATCTTATTATTTATGACTTGAGATCTAACCGTTGTCAATCCTAAGAAGTGCTCAATATGTTGTTGATTTACTTTTATCACGTACTTTTTGTGGTACAAGAAGACAAAGTAAAATACAAACAAATCTGTCCGTCAAACTAGTTTGGTTCTTAATTGGTCTAATATTTATTAAAACCAGTTATGAATTGTGTTGTTCTGTCACAGCCAGAGAAGAAGCTCAGAGCCATGTCATGACGTCACAATGTGTTTCTTGTAAAAGTGTGATTGTTCCTCTGGTGTGTTCTGGAGAATCACTGCAGGAAGACAGTTTATCTACACAGATCATTCATATCTTGTTGTTTAGTTTGTAAACTTTATTGTTTGAACAACAGCTGGTGTTTGTGGACACTATATTTCTAACTGGTGCTTTTAATTTCTAATTGTCATTTAAAAATGGAGTTGTACACACAGCTTCAAGCAGGATCTGTACATACTGGCTGATGGTAGCTTCAGTTGGAAACACTCGTCCGTTCCTTCTTTATTCCTGCTCGAACTGTTCAGTGTTGCACAAAGCTGGTGCCAGTCCTTCTTGTTGCCACAATGAGTGAAACAACCAATCACTCTCACATTTATCTCCAAATTAAAGTCACCAAATAACCTAACATGCATGTTTTTGTTCTATGGGAGAAAGCCGGAGTACTTGGAGGAAGCACATGAATGCACGGGGAGTACATGCAAGCCCCACACAGAAAGACTCCAGCTGAGTATTGAACAAATAATCTTTTTTGCTGCACAGCAACAGCACTAACTGCTCCACTTATCCACTGCTCCACCTGTTTGATAAACGGTGATTGTGACTTCCTAGAAATGTTGAAGCTGCGTATTTTATTGTTTTTGGTTGATTCTTATCTGAGCAGACTCAAAGTTTAATTCTGAGTTTTTAAACATGAAAGTTGCAACATTTCATTGGCTGAAGCAGGTCTATGATCTGGCACAGCCAAAAATTGGAAACTAAAAGAATTGTTTCTAAGTAAACTCTGGCTCTGGTTTAGCACTGGAACCCTTTGTGTGTATGTGTGTGTGGTGGGATCCATATGGTGCACAGAAATGCAGCACGTCAGTCGCTGTAGTTGAATTTTGCCCTTGAGGTCTGCATCATGTTGTCAGTGCAGGATGATTGTCACCAACATTGCCAGCTAATTGAGTTTCCTGCCTGTAGGTTTTGATGTTTGCAGCTTCTGCACTTATTTGTAATAAAAACTGAAACCATCCATTCCTTCATCCATTTTATTTACTTGCTTTTTCTTTCTGGGTTGTGGGGAGCTGGTGCCTATCTCCAGCAGTCACTGTGCGAGAGGCAGGGGACACCCTGGACAGGTCTCCAGTCCATCATAGAGACAAACAACCACTCACACTCTCACATTTAGGTACAATTTACTTACAGTTAACCTAACATGCATTTTTTGGGTCTGTGGGAGGAAATCGGAGTACCTGGAGAAAACGCATGCATGCACGGAGAGAACATGGGAACTCTACAGATAAAGGCCCCAGGCCAGGAGGCAAAGATGCAACCTTATTGCTGACAGGCGACAGCTCTAGCCACTGCACCAACATGCTGCTTAAACTGGAACCAACTTAAACTCATTGTTCAAGCTTTGTGAATACAAAGTTTTCCATGATATATGAATTAGATTATACATACACTGCATGGCCAAAAAAAAAAGTTGCCACCAAACAAAAAATGGTTTGGACCTTCTTCCATTGCTCCAGAGTCCAATCTTTATGCTCCCTAGCAAATTGAAGCCTTTTTTTCCAGTTAGCCTCACTGATTAGTGGTTTTCTTAAGGCTACACAGCTGTTCAGTCCCAATGCCTTGAGTTCTCTTCACATTGTGCATGTGGAAATGCTCTTACTTTCTCTATTAAACATAGCCCTGAGTGCTACTGTTGTTTCTCTTCGATTTGATTTCACCAAACGTTTTAAGTGATCGCCGATCACGATCATTCAGGATTTTTTTCCGGTCACATTTCTTCTTCGAAGACGATGGGTCCCCACTATCCTTCCAGTTTTTAATAATGCATTAGACAGTTCTTAACCCAATTTTAGTAGTTTTAGTAGTTTTATTTAATGACCCTTTCTTTTTTCATCGCTATGTTTTTTTCTGTCATGGCGATTTCAGGAGTCATCTTTAGGCTCTTCTCTTTATGGGGGCCGAGGTGGTTTAGAGGCAAGGCAGCTGACTCTGGACCCTAAAGTCCCAGGCTCGATCCCCAGTCATTGCACATCTCGTGGAGTCTCTGAGCAGCACACCTTATCCCCAAATGCTCCCCAGGCACTTTCAATAGCTGCCCACTGCTCCACCTAGTGATGGATGAGTTAAATGCAGAGAGCCAATTTTGCCATTGTATGGGAACATACATAATGACAACACATACACATTATTATTAATATTTAGTGCAAAATTTCAAGCAAACAAGACAAGTGTCATCTAAATAATTGAACATCTGTTACTACAGTATAGCCCCTTTGCCATTGATGAGCACAACTCCACTCAGCTCTCGTCTTATCGGATCTTCTCAGGTGTAGGGGATTTTCCACTGTGACTTGTTTCCCTGCTCTGTGGGCGAAATCATTACAGGTCATTGTGTTCAAGCCGCTCTACCTATTGTAGTCTTTAATCGCTCTATAATGGGACTTCATTTTCTTTAGATTATCCCGGCACTGCTTATAAGTCAGGGTGTAGCCATCATCTCCGAAATCTCTTTGTGAATTTGCTCATTTCTTGCGGTGCTGTTCATCAACACGATCAGAGAGGAAGTGGAGGTTCAGATGTAGTTTGCAGTTTTGCTGGGCGGGGTCATTAGTGACGTAGCTCTGCTGGTCAATCAACAGCTGCGGTCTGCTTACGTCAAAATGATCACGAGCAGTTCGTTTCGAACCACGAACAAGGTGGTTCCATCAACCAGACCGAGTGGGGGTGGGCACCATCAGTAGGTAAGCCCATAAATGATGTGGTGTGGTGCGGAACTGATGTGTTGAGACGGTGGGAAAGCACATCGTGATGAGATGCGCTGTGAGAACAAGGCTGTTTGATATTTTTTATTACACCTGTTTAAATGGGTCCAACTGGATGTTAACAATGAGAGTTTATTACTAACAGCTGAGTCCTAAAACATCTCATTGTCTCATTCAAACCGTAAACTTTATGTATATGGAGTTTGTAATGAGTTAGGATAACTCGCAAATGAAATCTGTTGGAGCTTTTATTGAAAATGAAAGCAAGCTGTATTTTAGTCTGGTACATAATTTACTTTTAAGGAGGGAAAGTTGCACCAAATGCTCATTTTTAACAAGGTTATTAAGGAGAATTGTGTGCAATAATTTTCTATGTTTACTCTCTGAGGCTTTCTTTTCTCAGTGATATACCAAAACGTCACATCAGGTGGTAAATGACTAAATAAACCACACAGCGAATGTAGTATTTTTTTCTCTCTGCAGCATCTGAGGTGCACAATTTTCTAAAATGCTTTGTCAGTGACCTACATGGAGACTTTCCTGGCACGGATAGTTGAAGTGAGTGTTCAGTGCAGTGATGAGATGAAACGAGTGTGTGCCAAATACATTGTGCTCAGGAAGATCCTTGGAATAAAACCTTGAGCAAATTATTCCAATTAAGAGTCTGACTAATGGCAGAGCTGGTTGAAATTAAAGTCAATGTCCACATGTGTCAGCTGTGTGCTAAGAGCACTGATGGAGGAATAAAAATAGTCAAAGTGAAGATTATTCTGATACATCTTATGGTTAAAAAAAAAAGAGTCCATCATTATGTCTGTTTTTGCTTTTCCTTTTTACAGTAGCAAAGCACAGAGCTTATGTAATTACACTCGAAGACAGTTTTTCCATTTGGCTCGTTGTAGGCTGTCCAGATTAGCACAGAATGACAATATCTTGTGGAAGAGGAAAAAAAATATATTTTTTGCATGTTTTCTTTGCCACCCCTCTCCCTCTCTGTGTGCTTCCTTTGCCTGTCTCTTACAGATATTTTATGCATGGATTAACTCAGTCATATTGACTATACCACGCATTGGCACACGTTTTCTCAAAGGGACCAGAACGGGGGGGGGATCTTTCACTTGCATACTCAACGCTATTCTGTCATTTATCATTTCAGAGCGACGTGTTTTATAGATTCAAAGCTGCGGGTATTCAAACACCTTTGCCTTCATTCAAACGGATGCTTTTTTTTTTTCTCAGTAAACAAACCCAGTTTAAATTCCAGTGATGGTTAAAACTGTGCCACATAGTCACTAGTTGGCCTACATTTAAAATGGCATTCTGAGGGGTAATTTTGGCACAAGAATCCCAACATGAAAGCTGCAGCACTCGAACCGCTTCAACAGCTCTCCGTATTCTCCGACGTGCGTTTGAACGTACTCCTGGGGAAGTGCAATTTTTCTGAAGTAGTCTGCTCCGTGGTCTCAATTATCTAGTCGGTGGCAGACGGAGGACATTTGGACTGCGACGCAGCGCATGCTTTTGTCTCAGCTAATTGTTGACATCGGGGACGTGCGCTGCTGCTGCACAGATTTGCATCTGGCGCACCTGAAGGAGGCCGCCTCTGACCTTCAGGAGAGTTGTTTTTTTAGCTTTGTTTTAAGCGGTACAGTTGTCATGTAGGCTGGCTTCTTTTGTGAGATGACAACAGTGTTGTTCAGTCAGAACAAATGAGCCTGTCCCCACACTTGCTTACTCTCCCCCCCCTTTGTTGTTATTTGCATTAGGAATCAGTCTGCTCATTCCTCCCGAGGCCATCCCCAGAGGAAAGATCTATGAGATTTATCTCACTGTTCAGAGGAAGGAAGATTTAAGGTAGGTCTGTTTAGCGCTGTCTAACTGGCAGTCTTCCCTGAATGCCACTAGGCTGTTTGTTTTGATGCTCCACTGTTCCATTAGGAAAGGCTTAAGAGGCTGTGCCAGCACTGTGGAGGAGGGATGTAAATAAATAACACAGCCTTTTACAAGGATGTGCACTGTTTAAGTTAAATGAATTGTTTGGAAGGCAGTGTTTATCTGGCCTGCTGTACTCATCCTCTAAAAGCACAATCATCGCAGCCCGCTGTGATAGTGTTATTGTTTCTCAGTCGTCACATCTTTGAGTCCAGCAGGCTTTAATTATTCTTTGTTACAGCTGCTAGATAATTTGCAGAGGTGACAGTATCATATTCTGCTTTCAAGAGACCAGTAAATTCTCACTAATATCTTAATAATTACAAGCGCTTTGTCTCAATTCATTCGTCTCTCTGCTCTCCCGGCGTAGGTTGCCCCTGGCCGGCTGCCAGACCCTCCTGAGCCCCGTTGTGAGTTGTGGTCCTCCAGGGGTCGTCCTGAGCCGGCCGGTTATCCTCAGCATGGACCACTGCTTTGACGCATGCCTCGATAACTGGGCCGTCCGCCTCAAGAAGCAGAACTACGAGGGCGCCTGGGAGGTGAGACTACACTATAACTCCAGCACAAATCCTTTGTAGGAAAGACAAAGTTGCCAGTAAGTTTTATCTGTAAAGCATTACTGAATGTATTGATCGCTTCTGTGTGAAAAGTACAAACTTTTCACAGTCAAGACTTGAAATACACACTCCGTGTTGTATATCGCAGGAAGATCTGGCTCGACACTCCTCCGCAGGGTTTAAATTATATTGACCATCAGGTTGTTTTTTTTTTTTTGTTTCTTTTTTCTCGTTGAGCTAGAACAAAAGCCTCGGAGCACCGGTTCTCCTCAGCTAAAGGGTTGCTAGGCAACATGTTTGTGAAAATAGAAATTCTCTAAGCAAATTACTGATCCTTAAAGTACTCTTCTGAGTGCTCCTTGACCATTTTTGACTACTGCTTCCAATTACAGAGCTCCTTCCCCCCTTTTCTACCCATGAAATTTGAAAGCAACCAGAACTGCCAGGCTGCAATTGGACAGAGTTGAGAACAACCTTTGGTGTTCACACACACACACACGCACACGTGTGCACCCACACCTTCACGCAAACAAATGCGGTTTGAGGCAAAATACCCATCTCAACAATCCAGAGAGATTGGAAAGAGCGCTGGTGGGCTTTGGAGTGTTACTAGGTCTTCTTTCATGTTCGATATTGTGCATAAATTATTCAGCCTGCGCCCCCCCTCCTCTGCGTGGCAGCAGTGGGGTGTCTGTGGGATGGATTGGCCTGTCTGAAGCAGGGGTTAGACCAGCACTTTTAATCATCAACCCGACCAAATATAGCCCAATAACCTGACTGCGTGGCCACTACAGTGAAGAAGCACCAGGTGGACGAGCGAACGAGTGGAAAGAGCCGCAGAGTGTGACAGGAAGGAGAAGCAGATGGGAAAGAAAGGTAGAGATGCAGAAAATATAGATCTATAGAGCGGAGGGAAAAAATCAGGGTAAAGATATGGTGAAAAAATGAACAGCACTCAGCGTCGTAATTGAGCCGCCTCGCCTTCTATTCCACTTTGAAGAAATATTAAGATGATGAGAAAGTAAGACTCCATTGTGGTTGCATAGAAAATGAATCGTGTCAATACTAATTCCATTGATGGTGTCTGGTTGAATCGATCCTGCAGGGGCTCACTGGGCATTTGGCAGGCAGAATCCTCTCTTCAGAGTGATCGGCTAATGGGAAGAGTCAGTCAACGGGCATGATGTGATTTTAGAGAAAATGTTGTCACCTTGAGTCCAATTTGTCTCCATTAAATCAGCCAAGAGAGCAGTGGAATTATCTCATAAAAAGCCAACCTGTGCTGTGGTGGAATGAGCTGCTTTCACAACTCTGTCATCCTCATTAAGGATGCTGTTGTGATGCAAAACTTCAGCTTCCTAACAAAGCCAGAAATTCAAGGTGTTGCTTTTTCCAACATGTTTAAATCTGTTGTTTTTTGTTTTCCCCCCTTCCAACGTGGTAAATTAAAGAAGCAATTATTTCCTGAGCTGCCTGTTAGTTTTTTAACACCTTTAACGATCAGGCAACAGTATTGGTTTGCAGATAAATTGGCAAGTTGTTTTCACCTTTCTTAACAAATCTCAAACAAACATGGGAAGAAATTCTGTCAATCCCAATAATCCGATAATCACAGCACCTCCGCGGTCTTTTATTTCTTCTGAATCGTCTGTTCTTTCCGGGAATCTGTTCGAGTCTCCTTTCATGTCAATTGAGCAGTTCGTTCATGCATTATTAAGTAAATTGATGGTCTTCTGTAGGATGTGTGTCTTTGTATGAGGGGGACGTGTCTGTGTGTCAGTAAGCAGATCTCAGGTGAAAAGAACAATTGAAGCAAGAACAAAGTCCTGATCAGAACTTCATGTAGCGTTACCTTGAAGACCATTAGATGTCACGCAGCGGGAAGAATAGTTATATGTACACATATAGCCAAACGTAAATTGGGTGCTTGACCTTGTGGTTTCCCCTTCTTGCCTCCTTCAGGACGTCCTGTTGATGGGGGAGGAGCTGGTGTCGGAGCCTTATTACTGCCAGCTCGAGGCCGAGACGTGCCGGCTGTTCTCCGAGCAGCTAGGAACGTTCGCTCTGGTGGGGGAGTCTCTGCACATGGGAGCAGCCAAGCGCCTCAGACTGGTGCTCTTCTCAGACGCATATTGCTCCACACTGGAATACAATGTCAGGGTGTACTGCATGGATGACATACAGGACGTCTTCAAGGTAACGTGTTGCAGTTTATTGTTTACAATTAAAAAGTGTGTGCTCGTCCTCTCACTTGAAAAATACAAACCATATCAGTTTATTGGAGACATTTACACAAAGAATCACAATGTTGCACAGCGTCCAGTGCTGGTATACTCATGGACCAGCAAGAGGAAGTAAAGAAAATTTTAGAAATGGTAAAACCTTTTGAAGAGAGGTTGTGCAGATATTATTCGTCCACATGCCCTAAAGCAGGGCTATTCGACTATTGCTCAGAGGCTGGACATCCAGCAGTTATTCTCATTAATTAATCTTGTTTTACATTTTAAAGTCTAGTTCTATTTAAAAATGAACCCAGTGCTGGGCCGAACTGAGCTCACCAGTGGGCCTGATTTGACCCCCGGGCCACCAGTTGAATAGCCCTGCACTAAAGTATTTAATGGCCGCTCAGACCACCACTGCCCACTGTGCTGCCTCTTTTTATATATCTTTCTGAGAAAGTGCATTATCACTCCCTTGTGTTTGTTATTGTCTCAGATGGTGTAGGGGCAGGGCAGACGACTCGGGACCCGAAGGTCCTGGGTTCAATCCCCGGTCATTGCACATCTTGTGGTGTCTCTGAGTAGGACACCTAATCCCGAATTGCTCCCCGGGAGCTTGCATAGCTGCCCACTGCTCCACCTGGGTGTATCCCAGGTGCGATGGGTTAAATACAGAGAACCAATGTCGTCTTTGTATGAGAACATACAATGATGACAACACATAGCACTTTATTATTTATTATTAAACTGACCTTACTCAAAAGTGAACTCTGCACTGCCCTCTAGTGGACGTAGTGTCCAACAACAAGCTAACGAGAGTGGGGAGTGTGGGCAGCGTCGTAAACATATTAATGTTGTATGTAAAGTGAGCAGAAATGGGCCATTTGGACCCGTCTATACTTCTCCAGGTATTTTTTTTTTTTAAAACAACGATTTTTGGGGTTTAATTTATCTTTGGCTACACTTTCTAAAAAAAACGGCTGAAATGATCATGCCATGGTGAGAACATTCTCGCCTCTTTGAAAAAAAATATATATATATATTTACATTTTTTCCCAGTTGTTAACCATTTCAGCACCTGATCAATGTTTGACGGGGACAGGCTCAGGATGAAATGAGATGTTGGAGAGAAAGAAAAAAAAAGATAAAAACAGCTCGGTATTTGTTTGTCTGTTTATACTCAACAATAAAATAGGATTGGACTATTCAGTAAAATAAAAACAAAAATATTATGGACCTGACAAGTTTAAACTGTTTTTAACATGTTTGTATTGTGTTCAGTACAATTAGCACAGCTAGCATTGCTAACTATAATAGTAGTTTCTGCTTTTAAGATAAAAAGGAGCAACTTTTATGCAATTCAGTCTTTGTCTTCTGAAATCTGTTTGTTCCCAAAATACTTGAATAGAAACCCTCAGGCTCTGCATGAACTGTTAGAAATAACGCAATACAAAATTGTTTATATTTATAAACTTATAAGACACCTTTTGTGTGTCTAATGACATTAATTTTTAATACTTGATCCCACAAAGACTTGCAGTAACTCTTGACAGGTTGCTAGCACAAATTAGCTGCTTAATTATGATGAGTTTACAGACTGGTGGAAAAAATCTGATTTTTGAACGTTCAATCAGTTGGGAATTAAGTCTGGAGTAGCAGAGAGGTGTTAGTCTGGTACGGGACATGTATGAGGACAGCAGGACAGTGGTGAGATGTGCTGTAGGAGTGACAGATAGCTTCAAGGTGGAGGTGGGATTCATCAAGGATTAGCTTTGAGCCCCTTCTTGTTTGCTCTGGTGATGGACCGTCTAACAGATGAGGTCAGGCAGGAATCCCCGTGGACGATGATGTTTGCAGATGACATTGTGATCTGTGGTGAGAACAGGGAGCAGGTGGAAGAGATCTTGGAGAGGTGGAGGTATGCACTTGAAAGAAGAGTAATGAAAGTCAGCCGTAGTAAGACAGAGTGCATGTGTGTGAAAGAGAGGGAGGCTGGTGGAACAGTGAGGCTACAAGGAGCAGAGGTCACAAAGGTGCAGGACTTCAAGGACTTGATCCACTGTCCAGGAAAATGGAGAATGTGGTAAAGAGGTGAAAAAGAGAGTCCAGGCAGGATGGAGTGGATGGAGAAAAGTTTCAGGAGTGATTTGTGACAAAAGGGTGTCGGCAAAGGTCAAAGGAAAAGCTTACAAGACAGTGGTGAGACCAGCTATGTTGTATGGTCTGGAGACAGAGACATGGACAAAAAGACGGGAGAAAGAACTGGAAGTGGCAGAAATGAAGATGTTGAGGTTCTCCTTAGGAATGACAAGGATGGATAAGATTAGGAATGAGATCATCAGAGGTACAGCACAGGTTGAACAACTGGGAGATAAAATTAGAGAGGCCAGACTGAGATGGTTTGACATGTCCAGAGGAGGGACGGTGGGTATACTGGTAGAAGGATGTTAGAAATGCAGCTGCCAGGAAAGAGACAAAGAGGAGATATATGGATGCAGTTAGAGAGGACATGGAGGTAGTTGGAGTGAGGACAGAGGATGCAGAGGACAGAGTGAGGTGGAGGAGGATGTCTCGCTGTGGAGACCCCTGAAGAGGGAAAAGCCGAAAGAAGAAGAAGATCAGTTGGTCACTGGTCAAGCTGGAAATGTTCTGATTCTGATCACCAGCTGTTGACAGGTGCATCTATACTTGATGTGTATTTGATGGATGTGTGTGATGATCGATCGTCTTTTAATGAAACTCTGCACACGTGTTTTGTGTGGATACCTGTAGTAACGCTTCATGTCTTTCGTGATGTCAGTGGTTCTGCTTGGTTGCCGCGGGCCATAGGTTTCCCATCACTACACTCACCAGCATATTTCACTCCTTTCCCCCCACTCCTCCACACGGACAGAGTATAATCAAGCACTAATGCCTGGCTCCCTCCCCTGAGGGCCGCCTCTGAGTAGCCTGTTAAGATTTCATTTGCATGGTTAATTAGTAAATTAAAAGGAGAGTCTGTCCCAATCTTTTCCCAGCTACCCCCCAGTGCTCCCTGCAGTTCTCCCCACCTCTGTCTCTCTCTCAAAGAGCTGTTCCTCCTCCACTGTCACCACCCACAGCCACAAGAGCCACTTCTGCTGGCTGTAATGGCTGACCTCCACGTGCAAAGGTAGCAGCACGATCTTTGGATGGCTGAGGGACATAAACGGAGGAAGTCACTGAGAGTTCACGCTGAAATTAGCTCTCACATTTTCCAGGAGATGATGATGAGCTGAGCTGCACAGGCTCCGACTGTGGTGGGAGTTACAAAACCCTTCTCTAGTGTGCAAGACTGTGCAAAAGTTTGGAGTCATCTGTTGTTTTTCTGATCTTTTGAAGCAGTCTGGATCAATAGTTTTTTAGACTTCAACTAAAGTTTGGCTGCTTTGTCACACATTATTGTGTTCTTCTTAGAGAATTGTATTTTCTTTTGTTAAGGCATTTAAATTTGAGATTTGAATCAGGATTTTTTTTTTTTTTAAATGTCCTAAATAAAAGGAATTAACGAGAGTTTGTGGCAACACGTAACAAACAACTTCGCAAAGATCCAAATTTAAATTGGTTCGGAAGCTAATTATTAGCTAAATATCTAATTGAGATAGCTAGCTAGTTACTAGCTATAGATTCAGTTCTAGCTAATAACCTGACCAGCAGTCTGTCACACAATTTGTTACATTTTTTTTGTTGTTGAATCTATAGAAAATACAAATGTATATTTGTGTTTCTAGAGCACAAAGTATTAATGGATGTGTGCAAAGTAGCTGCTATATCTTATTTTCTAAATCTTTATGTTGTGAGTCCACACGTAAACAGCAAAAACATTTTTTCTGCAACTCCATTTTGGAAAGCAAAGTTTAATATACCTGTTTTTCTTACCAAAAACACAATTTGTGTGTGAATGGGAGGTGCACACTCGGTAAAATATCTTTAAAATATCTAAGTATTATGAATAGGTCCTTAATTTTAGATCAGTATTATTTTAAAATATTCATTTTATTGTATTTACACTAATATATGAGAAAATGAATGTAATAAATATATAAATATATTAAATATAATATAAATATATGCATTTATAAATAATATATAAATGTATTTTTTATAAATATTAATAATAAATAACTTTGACAATTAACTGTTAATGTAATTTAGGCCCGTTATGATAACAAATTTTGCTGGGTGATTAATTGTTTCAGAAATTATTGTGATAAAATATAATATTGTTTGAAATTTGACAATAATTATTTAGTAATTATTGTCAAATTTAAGAAGAAATTTTGGTTGATTGTTTTGAGTTTAGTACCTTTTTTTTGACCACCGGATGGCAGTATAAGACCATTTGCACTAAAGGGTGGATAGTGAGGGAGCGAGCAGCGTGTCTCTAAGAAAAATGAGAGGGAGGCCCCTTGACATGACATGGGCTGTCTCTCTTTCTTTAATTTTTTTTTGGTTCTCAAAATGTTGGACAGTCTGTGTGGTTGAGCTCTTTAGCATAGCATTTTTCACACAACACTTTCAATTTAAAAAATCAGTAAACAAGTTCTCAGCTTCTTTTGCCTAGAAAAACAACTTTTTACATGAAGGCATGGGTTTCAACCGTGAATTTTGGAGCTTCGACAAGACGGAGGTTTATTACTGAGGTTGCCCTGTTAGCTTAGCTCGTAGCTTAGCTTCTCAGCTTAGCTGCTTTTAACGATCTAAAAATGCAATTTTGGACGATTAAAATGGATTTTAACGAGAAAGGGAGGGGTCAGTGAAGAGCACTGGAGTTGAGCCTTTTGTCATCCAGTGTCTTCAGTAGAAAGAGACATGAAGAAACATTAAAGCCTATAAATGAAAATGAGGTTGATTATTTTCATTTATCATGCGATTAATTGATTTATTGTTTATTGCGACAGGCTTAATGTAATTTGTGTTTCCTTGTTTGGTATTAATTGGCATTTGAGGGAGTGGTGG